GAAACAGGTAGAGAAATTTGATGATTCCTCTCTCTTCCTGTTTTAAAGGTAGGCCATGCATATCCTTTGATGTTGATTATACATTCATATTAATTTTGTGACATTATGCCCGCCGGTGTGTTAAGTAGCTATACTTCTATGTGCCATACTTTCTATATTTATTCTATATATTTAAATATATTAATCAGTTTAATTGTCTATATATCTATATACGGTATATGTAAAGAGGGTAACACATGCTATTATCTGTACAGTTACAATCTAGCTGGTTAGGGGTCAAATCAAATGGGTTTAGGGGTCTCATATAGCGGGTATGTAAATTTGTAGATGGCAACACTGCTTCCGTACTTGTACCACGTAGTAGTGTAGTACACGTACACACTGCCACGCCCCCGACCCTCACCCATCCCCTCCCGCCTCTACTACTACAACGCCCTCTGAACCTCTCCCAGTCCCCTACCCACTAGTACCTCTCCTAAGATTCCAGTACCTCCCCCACCCTTCTGCCATGCTCAAAGCGATTCTAACACGCTCACAGCCTCACACTTCCCCCAAGTCAATCCCTAGGCTTTCTAACATTACGCAAAATAAAAATTCAAGACACTTGGCAGCATATCACACCTGAAACTTAGGACAGGTGTTAAGGGAGAACATGAGAGAAGCAATTAATGTCTTGTTACGGGACCATAGATTATGGTCAGGGGATTAACATGGTCACTTTTCTTAGGCCAGGTCATGATAAATCTGAATAGGTCAGTGGATTTACATGTTACCAATTTCCCCGTAGTAAATCCACTTAACCTGATGACATGTTTGACTATTCAAGCCTCATATCCATGCCCTTTAAAATTGAAGAATTTCAAATTAAAAATGATGCAGGGTTAAATTTTGAAGTTTATGATGATATCTCAGTTTTGGATTGGTTTATCAGACACAGCACGTTAAATTGAGCTAGCAGTGTGTTTGTATAATTTAGAACAACCTCTGCCTGCGAGGCAACTTCCTCTTTGGAGTTATATTTAAATCCGATTATCGTAACAGTATTTAAAACTTTATCCAAGAAAACTGTGTGCTGTTCTTTAATTACACACACCACCATGTAAAGAGAAGTAATCAATGTATGCTCACATATTGGCTCGTCTTGTGTTGGTTAATTGCAATAATATTATATTGTTAGATACAGTATAACAGGGTTGCAGCTTGTTTTTAAGTTCAATATATATAGAAATAAAAAAGGGTCGGTGTTCATCTTTAGACTCCTCATTGGTGTGGGCAAGCAAATTTCTTTCATAATTCGTCAGGACAAGTAAAAAGATACCAGGGCAACTTGGGCAAGCACAAAGTACATTTCAAAAGTCGACTGAAAATGAAGATGTTAGTTTGGCGTTGGTTTCTACTCTTCTTCTGTAGAATTCTCATGTGGAACTTCCCAGAAAAGCATTATAAGTTTTAGTGGTATTAGTTGGGTCTCCAAGAAATTCAACTAATAGGCAGTACAGTACAGTACATACAGGTACATTACTTCTTGAGGAGCCATTTTCAAGAGTTTAGGTTAGAGAAGTAAAATGGTTTGACGGACTAATTAGTACTAATATTTGTTAGTAATCTTCTGATGAATCATTTTACAGCTGATATATCAGCATCATATGAATGTGTTCTGGTTACAATGTTAGAAATAAATGAAGCTTCATATCTTCGTGGTTTTATAGGGATCTTTCCTGATCCTTCGTTTTATGATGATTATTGAAACCTCTACAGGTTACTTGGTACATTATTTGGAACCAGTTCTCAGCTTCGTTAATTAATTAGAACATTTTGGTAGATGAGTTGGAACTGGCATCTATTAAGGGAGATTTTCTCTAGTCTTAGGCTTGGAAGAGTGAGTTTCAGAGCTACAGCCTGTAAGCTATGACTATAGTACAGTATTTTAGTTTAATTTATTTTGGTCTTGCTGTTGAGTGAACATGTTTGAAACTGTGTGTAAAGTTCTTAGTTAAGAATAAAGTAACTAACTTAAGGCCAGCATGTATTCCAATCACACCCTGGATGTGGGAAGATGGTTCATTTATTCATTATTTCCTATCAATTCTTTCACTGTTATCTCAGAAATACTGAATGCTTTCAGATACCTTTACAAACATTATTATTTCTCTGTACAGTACTAACATACATGATTTACCTAATGGCCACCCATGACCAGTCCACCCATAAATGAAACTGTGACCAATTGTTGGTTCCCTTTGCAAATATAAAGTACACTATAAAAGGTTGAAAATTATGTTTTAGAGCTTTATTAAAAAATCTTTACATACTTATTGACACTGAAAACATATTTCAGTATCTATGTATTACTCTAGCATAAAAGGTACCAATATAAAAACTAATACAGTATCTGGATTCAGCTGAATTCAAGAAGTCCCCATTATTCATTTTTTCATTTCGCAAATTCGTCACTCATCAATTGAGGAATACTTTATTGTTATTTGTCATTTACATCTTTCACATTCTTAATTCCGACTACTTGCCATGACAGAGTAATAAATTAACATACTGTATACTGTATAAATACAGTTACAGTAAAATGAAAATACAATTACAGTACGTACCAGTACATTATATTGTACAGTAAATGTAATTAAAATTTAAAAAAAACTTTAATTTCCTTTGGTACATATACGGGGGCAATCAGTGTATGTACTGTACCTTATGTAAGCTCGACATCACATGAGCACCCAAGCTGGCAGTTATCCAAACCGGCAAGCAAATATGGCACTAATATTCCGGCTAGCTACACTTAAAGCAGTCACACGAGGCGAGTCGAATTCCATCATCACACAAACATAAGCATTCAAGATGGCTCTCAGTGACCATATTACTGTGGCAACTATACCTGTCGTTGTTATTTTGGGCTGTAACAAACATAGGCAAAAAGGAAAACATTCGCATACTTTTCCATAAACTTGCTAGAAGAAGGACTACAAGTGTGTCACTAGCAAAATGTAAATATTGCTGTTCACAGTTAATTATGTATTCACAAATTATTACATGTATTTTATACATTGTGGTACAGTATTTTTAAAGTTGGTCATAAGGATATACATACAACAAATAACCATACACAGTACTGTACTGTACTGTATTAGTAGCTCTCCTTTGAACTCGAAAGTGATGCCGATTTTGGGTAAGTGAAGAACAACATGTCAGAGTTGAGAAAAACTGTGAACACTACCTGAAATCTCCCGATCCATTGCTGGTTTGAAAATTGCCTGTTTAGGTGTTCGTATGATGCCGCCTTTAAACAAACAAGACACTCCGGTTACAAATATATAGTGTACAGATTTACATTTAGCTAAATATCTTTTTATGTACCTTCAATTACTTTATTCTTTTCACCAGTGATCGGCCCGTCAGCCCCTTGGACAATGTCACATCTGTTATACACTGTTGGCAAATACAGTACTGGGTATGCACCGACTCCAGGATGTATCTGAACCTACACCAGTGTTGGTCTGGTCTTCAATGAGCTCACGCTCAGTGCTGTCACATTCTTTGGCAAATATTTCTAAACTTGTGGCTTCATTAACCTAAGTGCTATGACTTCTAGCAGGGTTGGTATCACAAGTTCCAGGTATGAACACTCAACTGAGTACTCCAATGTCTTCTGAGGTGCTCATAAACTTCTATAGGTTATCCCTTACCTGCCTATAGTGTATGTCATTTATGAAACAAACAAACAGCAATAGTCCCAGTACACTACCCTGTGGTGCCCATGGATACATATGATTTCATGCCATTAATCATCACATACAATACTGCTTGCAGTCATGAAGAGTCTTGGATCCATGCTTTTTTTTTTTTATGGGAAATAGCCCACGCGGGCACACGTCATTGACCCACATCAGGGCCTGGGGGGCGAAAAAATAAGAATAAAAAGAAATTACAAATAGAAAAGAAAAAGATCATATTAATCTACACAACGAAGATGCCGGAAAACCAGCTTTTTAAAGCAAGACAGAGTGTATGAGTGTGGAAATACAGAAGAAGGCAGAGCATTCCACAGTTTGGCTATGTGAGGAAAGAAGGAAGCACCATAATGGGTTATTCTAGTGTGACCGACATCCACAGAGAAATGGTGGGCACCGTGGGCAAAACGTGTGTTACGAGCCCACGGCCTTGCCGGCGGTACGCAGGATGCCAAATCCACCAAACATTGCCCATTAAAGTACCTGGAAAAGAGAGAGAGTGAAGCAACATTGTGGCATAGAGAAAGGGAAGATTGTCAATTAAAGGAGGAGAGTTAATAAGATGAAATGCCTTTGATTCCACCCTATCTAACAGTTGGACAGAAGAAGAGCCACCCCAGATATGAGAGCAGTACTAAGATGCTCCCCAAAACTCTACCCCTCCTATTTAATTTTCAGCCTTTAATGGGGGTATGCTGTCAAAAGCCTTGGCAAGGTTTAGGTATATACTGTACTCTATTATCAATATTGCTACCCAGCTCCATGTCCTGTGTCCACAAATCCAGCACCTTAAGTAATTGCACCAAACAGGAGCATCAAGGTATAAAACCATGTTGGCATTCCTATACAAGGATATTTTATAGTAGATGTTGCATTACACCTTCTCATATAATGGTTTCTAATACTGTACATTACTTTACACACTATACTGGAGAAACTCACTGGCTTATAATTGCTCATGCAGTGGTGATCTCCCTGTTTGAATAAAGGACTCGCACAACGGTATGCCATTTTCCATTTGCTGGGGACCTTTTGCTAGTTCATACAACTGCAGAACAAGATTTTAAGGGGCTCAGCAAGCTTATTGCACAAATCTTAACAATGGGATGCACACTATCATGGCCAGGGCTCTTATGAAACTTAAGCTTTGACAATTTGTTTCTAATACTATACAGTACTGTACTGTACTGTACACTCTTCTGAGAACTCAACATGTATGAGCACTGTGTTTGGTAGGTTTGTATTGAAAAAAAGTAATTTATGAACTATATTAAGTTTGTTAATAAAATGTGTTTAGTGGAAATACAGGGGTGTATTACTGCAGTGAGTTTAACTTACACAAGCTCATTATGGTTAACAGTTCATTATGAATTTAAGACAAACAGGACACTACAGTTACCAATACTGTATTTAGTGTGCAGAGATATATCTAAATATCTTGTGAATTGTATTGAAAACAGTAATTTATGAAATAAATTATATTACCAGGGTAATAATCATCAATGAAATGTGATTAGATGAAATATTAGTATGTTTATGGGACAGTTACTTGTGAAAGCTTGTTGTGGCTTTGTGGTACTGTACTTACACTATGGGTCTAAGAGGAACAAACACTTCAACTACCTTTATGTAGTGTATAAAATGATATTATTTAAATACAGTACAGTACAGTACAGTATTCTAATATGTTAGGTTTGTACAGTATCAAAAAGTAAATCACAAAATATATTAATAGTGTGTTATTTGCTTTGTCCAGTTAATAATGATTCCAAGATTTCTGTGCATTTTATCCTACAATATCTCTTGTGTTACAATACTGTCATCGGTCCATGGTGTGTGTTAAGAGCAAAGAGTGAGCCTCAGTGTAAGAGGGACACAAAAAGTAGGACAATAGAGTATAGAATTATGATTAGATAATGGTCAGTGTGCAAAAACTACATACTGTACTATTGTAAAGGTAATTATATATTGGATACCCGTACTTATTTAATGTCATAGGGTATAGTGGCAATGAATCAGAGTATAACCCAGCCTTATATTATTTAATGACAAAAATTCCCTTTTTTCGTCGGGAATGATATTAGTGACAAATAGGAATGTAACCTTCTTATTTCATTAATTATTATTGGGAAAAATTACCTGCCATTAGTTGTTTCAGGATTCATCTCTGTTTTTTAATATGTACCCTTTACAAATAATGGGGGACCCCTGTAATTCAGTTTTCTGTTCAAAGATTTAGGCAAACAATTGAACTTCAAGTCCAATCTTATGAAATGTATCACAATTATTCATAATGGCCGTATAAAAAACGAGATAAGAAAATATGTTTTCTCCACTTTCTGAAAGGAGAATTATCAGTATCTTTAATATCTTCAGATTTTTTTTAGACTTTTATAATGTCCACATATTTTACTGCACTGCAGATTTATGAGACATATCACTGACCATATTACAAAGCTGGAATTAGAAGGCATCATGTGGGTCCAAAATTTACCATAATGCTGCACTTAAAACACATTTACAATAAACTTGCATGATGAAATAAAAAACAAAAAAGCAAAAGTAAGTGTTGGGCAAGGAGATTTTTTTTTTATTTAAATTTCCAATTCCATTCTCAATGTACGGTAACTGTGTTGGCCCTGGATGTTCATAGAAGAGCTACTGTTGCAGAAGCAAAGGTGTTAGTGAAAGAATTTTAATGCATGGGCCTCTTACTTCAATTGCAAGTATTGTACACACCCTGTACAATAATACAGTACAGTACTTCTGGCCCCAACTGCACACCTTTTTCTTGGTCTGGCATTTTTATCATTATTTTTCTAACATTTAGCTCATTATTTCACTTGATTCTTTAAAACTACCTTACCTGATGAAAACACCCTTGCTTTTTTACATATTAAAATATCTTTAATTACAGTACATGGAGACTACCTCGCCTCTTGTGTCAATAAAAATAACCTGGATTATAAAGTACTGTGCAGTACAGTACTGTAATCTAAATAAATAACTGAACATTGTTTCTAGACATCACACATCAGTCAAGTACAGTAGTTTACAATTAGTGACTGTTAGAAATATGTCCTTCTTGCACTACCCTTCACTAACTTTATTAGCTACATTATTGGATATAAATATCAAAATACTAAACATAAAACTGAGTGTGCAAGAAGAGAGTAAAGTTAATAAAGTAAGTGGTAGAGTTGTTTCACTTTTCTGATAAGTAAACCATGATGTACAATATCTCGGCAATTTTTTTAAGTGTAGCTGTTTGGTCTTTAAAAGTTAAAGTTGACAAAATGTATCCTGATTTTTTTTCTTCCCTTCAGCATACAGTAACTGTAGATGAAAGAATGGACTGAGGTATAGTATAGTTTCTAACGCAATTATAATACCAGGGGCACAGTTGGTAATGAATGTTTGAGGCTGATCTATATCATCCACCCAACTCTGGTTGAGGAAATGATTTGTGATCTACAAGTATGAACTATGAAGGAAAAGACAAGTATACTGTACAGATGTAATTTTGTACAGCTGGTCCTACAGAAGGCATAAGCTCACAGAGAAAAGAAAGGAAACCATGAAGGCATCAAAGAATTTTAGTGATTTCTTATGGAACTGTACTGTACTTTTTTAGCCAAAAATAAATATTTTGTTATTATTGCTGTCACTAACACAACATTCTAGTTTTTTTTCAATACTTTTAAACTCATACTGTTTATAATACTGTATTACACATTAATTTTTCCACATAAAAATATTGATACAGTACTGCTTACTAACTATTACTGAAAAATTTGATCAATAAACAGTCATATCTTGAACCAAATTATTAGTTCATGAATTATAATAAACCATATGTATTGTCTGGTGAGACTGTCCAAGCTGGTTCAAATGATCTTGGAGAGACACGTGTGTTTGACTTAAATTTTGGGGTTGAGAGAGATTTTGAGGCTGAGGTATATTATCGTTTTGTGACAAATTTTGTGGCTGAGACAAGTTTTGAGGTTGTGACAAATTTTGGGACTGAGAGAGATTCTGAGGTTGGGGAATTGTTTGGGTTTGGGACAGATTATGAGGTTGTGACAGATTTTGAGGCAGTGATAAATTCTGTGGTTGGGAAAGGTTCTGTGGCTGAGAAAGATTTTGAGGCTGATGAATACTTTGAGACTGAACAAGTTTAGGAGCAAGAGAAAGGTTTTGTGGTTGTGACAAGCTTTGTGTAAGAGAAAGGTTATGAGGTTGTGAATGATTTTGTGGTTGGGAGAGATTCTGTGGTTGATGAAGGTTTTGGGGTTGGGACAGGTTTTGTGGCTGTACAAGATTTTGAGCCTGAACAAGATTTTGGGGTTGAACAAGATTCTGGGGCTGAATAAGATTTTGGGGCTGAACTAGATTCTGAGACTGAGTTAGATTTTGGGGCTGAACTAGATTCTGAGACTGAGTTAGATTTTGGGGCTGAACTAGATTCTGAGACTGAGTTAAATTTTGGGGCTGAACTAGATTCTGAGACTGAGTTAGATTTTGGGGCTGAACTAGATTCTGAGACTGAGTTAGATTTTGGGGCTGAATTAGGTCTTGTGGTTGGGAAAGTGTTTGATGAATATGATTTTGTTGCACATGAGTCTGCAATGAAGAATGAGGAATAGCAACATGGAGTTGCACAACAGGAATGTGGGGCATAGTGAGAGAATCATTTGGTTTGCTTGAGTGAGTCCCTGACTGTGAATGATGTTCTTGCTGTAGCTCAAATTGGTAATGTTGATGGTACTCATCCTGTTGTTCTTGGTCATGGTGGTGTTCCTGATGCTGTTGATGTGACTGGTCAAGTAATTCTAAGTCAGCTCCTTCCTCAGCATTACTGGAAGCCCCTTCTGACTTGGGTAATTCTATTCTATCAGATTCATGTTCCTGTAACATTTCTTCAAATTCGGCATCAGAATCAGTGGCTGCATTACGTCGTTTTTTACGTATATTTTTTGGCTTTCTTTTTCTTCCTCTCTTGTTTTTTGATCCCTTGGGTCGTCCCCTAGGCCGTTTAAGCTGATCTGAATCATCTTCATCAAGAATTTTTGTCTTTGCCAAACCACCTGGTTTCCGGCCAGGTGGTTTCTTAACTCCTGGTCTTCTCCAACGCTTTTTGTACCCATCATTACCACAATATTTCATTTTATGTTTAGTTATGTATGATTTATCTTTAAACCACTTACTACAAATATCACACTGGAAAGGCTTTTCTCCAGTATGAACTTTATAATGGTCCTGTAGCCATGATTTACAAACAAAGCCTCTTCCACACAACTCACATTTAAATGGACAATCACCTTTATGAATGCGAAGATGATTTCTTAAAGTAGTACTTGAAGAGAAAGACTTGGGGCATTCAGGACATTGGTAAGGTCTTTCTCCTGTGTGCACTCGCATATGGCTGGGTAGATGAGAACTCTGAGAAAAGGTTTTACCACAAACACCACACATATAAGGCCTCTCACCAGTGTGCAGCCTTTTATGAGTCCTTAAGTTTGATTTGGCAGCAAAGGAAGCTCCACACTCATCACACACAAAAGGACGTTCCCCTGTATGTGTACGCATATGCTCAGCAAGATTTGCCCCACACGCTAAAGACTTTCCACAATCAGGGCACATTACACGTTCACCAGTACCACTACGAACACGAGGTCTTGGTGATGGCTTCGGTGGTTGTGGTGGCTCAACAGATGCTCCTACTTGTGTTTCCATTGCTGGTGTTGGACTCTCTGAGGTTCTTGAAGCTGGAGTAGAAGTTGCTGTTAGCTGGACTGGTTGCACTTGAGCCACATTTGCAAAATGAACATGCTGTATTTGTTGACTGATTTGCCTTACTACATTGCCCCCAAGTTCAACTTGCACTGGGGTAGGTACAAGGAAATCCTCCAAACTACTTAAGCTGTAAGCACTCATGGTAGATGTTGGCACAGTTGCTACAGAAACTGCTGGGGTCACCATTTGAGCACGCTGGAACTGTTCCATTCCGGTGATAAATTTTCCAGTGATTCACACAGATGGTCTGTCTTCAGTTTTCATTTTCAAAGCTAGCCAACCTGTGAAAAAAAAATGCATAACTAAAATATCCTATAAATATTTAGATTTATAATTTGCTAGCAAAACAATAAAAAAAATATTAATACTGTACTGTAAACAGTACAGTACAATAAACACAAGAGGAAAATACTGTACAGTATCAGGAAAATACTAGTATACTGTACAGTACTGAAATCTAATAACTTGTACTGTGTACATTACTCAAAAACCTTTTTTTTTTAGTTTTGGTACTCCATGTAAGGAGATTCTTGACCAAAATGTTACAGTACACACTATACAGTACTTTGATTCACATGTAATATTCCTAAATATATATTTAGTCCCATTAAATCTTATACAGTACAGTATTCTGGTGATGGACATCACTTCCGCATCCAAACAATTTCACATCTGCATCCATATCTAGAAGATGCAGATTTGTAGAGGTTGGGATTTTTATAATACCGTACTGTACTACAGTATATTTATGTAATACTGTTATATATCCACATCTGCGATTGCCAAATTTTCACATCCAGATCTGCATCCATAGATGTGAGAAATCTGACATCCTATTCATCAATACAGTACTGTATTATATACAATACTTTACTCATCCAAGGAGCTCCTTGTAAAGTGGTGGCCAAAACAGAAGAGCCTCCATACAGCCCTCTCATTACATACTTCCTTTGTCTTCTGTGTTACTTTTAACCCCTCTCCTATTCCTTTTTTAATGAATTGTTCCTTCTTTTACTTTTACTTTTATCCTCTTCACCACTGATCGGCTCGTTAGCCGCTTGGGCGATTGGTCACGTCTCTGTTACGCACTGTTGGCAAGTACTGGGCATGCACGGCTCCTGAATGTACCTGAACCCGCTCCAGTGTTGGTCAAGTCTTGTCTTGAAAGAGCTCACACTCGGTGCCGTCACCCACTCCACCATACCGTACCACAACTTATACCCTCTGATTTTTCCTCCATTCCAAATATTCCGAACACTTCACAGTTCTTACCCCTTCCTTGTAGTAACCCCTTAGAACATTCCATTTCATTCCAAGCCCAAGTTTCAGTCCCATAATGATATTGCCCACCTCTCCAATCGTTCCCCTCCCATGTACTCTCTCTCTCTCTCTAATTTCAATATTATTACCAATCTATGATAACTTAGCATCAATCCCAAATCCTTGAATTCCTTAACTTCGGTCTGTGTCTATCATCATGAATTTACATTTGAACTTGTTTGTATTTTGTATTTATATAGTTTACCAAAATTTACTTTGTTACACCTTTCTCTTAAATGCCATTTCTTTCCTCTTCCTAGCATTTACCTTGTTTCTTTCTTTTACACAGTCAATGCTACCTACCATCTTTTGCAGTTGTCTGGCATGCTACTATGGCCACATCCCACCTACTAGCTCCAGCTTTGTTCCTGCTCCAGTCACCCTTGCCTTCATATCCATCACCAATCCATCCATACATACTCTGTTAAAACCATGGGAACATCATACTTCACTGTCTCATTCCAAATGCCACCTCAAAACTCTCATTCTTCTGCTTACTCTTCACTGTAAAAAGCAGCTATGCTCCTACTCTGTAAGTCCTCACCATCTCCCACAGGGCCCCATGATCCAACCTATCTTATGTTTTGTCCTAATTCATAAATGCAGCATACAGTTTTCTGTCTTTTGCAAAGTACAATTCCTGTAGTTTGCTGCATGTATTTTTCCTGTTCTCATTTGGTCTATACATTTCTTACCCTTTCTAATTCTTCCTTTATATATCCTCCATTCTGTTATATTTTGTTCATCTTATTAATTACCATCCCAATTTCATTCAGCAGAATTTATTTCTCAAAAATTTTTGCTTTTCTCTTTATACCTGGATACAGTTATAGCATTTGACAAGTCCTCTGGTATTTTTCCTGATTTTCATGCCATCTGACATACTGTTAACAAGATGCTAATTACTTATTCTCTTTTTACATCTGCTTTTATCTCCTCCCTTGATACTGTATTTCCTCTTCCACTACAATTTTCTCGCCTCCTTTCTCCAACCTACAACATGATAACTTGACCTCTTTCCAATTAAGTAAAATTAATTCTTCTGAATATTCCTACCATCCAAATAAAAATATGAAACCTAAAACTTCCACCAGTCTAATATCCCTTTGTTTCTGTTAATATTCTTTTCTCTGTACTGTATCTTTATTTTGCTGCAGTTATTCCTTTCCTCTCTCTTTATAATTCTTTTCATTTTCATAATACCTGTACAGTACTGAACATTTTTTATGCTGTACTTGCAAAATCACCATTCAACTTTCTTACAAACTCTTCAGCCTTTTTTCTCCGAAAATCTCATACCCCTTTTTCACCCATTTATTCTCCTCTCTGTACAGTACTGCCAGTTCCTATTCTCTCAATCCACTAGTGATAAATTTGATTAAAAAGTCTTTCTCCATGCTTTTCTCTCTCTTTCACATGTAAATTACACAATGCACTTCAACTTTGTTTGTAACAATATATTTCCACACAAAGACTTTGCTGCCTCATTTATACCAGTTTCTGGATACACTCACTAGAGTCCCCACATACTGAGAGTAGCAACATAGGCGGTCCCGTGTTTAAATAGAAAACGCGGCTACTGGACGTTATCTTGACTCCCCCGAGCCCCTCCATTCACGTTGACCTGTGGAGTCACGCAGATCATATTCCTGGTTGGAAGTGGACATAGTGTGTAATATGTAATGCCGTGCTGCTGTGCCATCGGATGTACTAATAGATCAGAGAAGGGATTTAAACTGTACAAATTTCAAACAAACCCAGAAAGAAAGACAATATGGGTAAACAAAGTCTGTCATCTGGATTGGAAACCGTCTCCAACATCTTATTGTGTCAGGAATGTTTTATGGCTGTGTTGTCATACACTAGGTGAGCAGGTTCACTAATTGAGAAGCTCACTCTTATTTTCCATAGAAATCAGCATAAAATATAAGAGATACATGAGGAATAATGACAGATGAAGAGTCCGTGTAGCCCATTTAAAGTTGCGGGAGCAAATTCTAGTTGCTTATTATGTTTTATTTATTTCCCTTGTTTTATATATACAGTAGTAAAAGCTGTGTCCTTGTGTTATTCTTGCCTGACTGAAATATTACCTGCAACAGCCTTCTAATTGTCATAACACTTTGCAGGAACATTTTGAGGGTGATCAATTTGAGACCAAGCGAGTAGATGGCAAACGGAAGCTCAAATGGACTGCAGTACCGACTCTCTTCTCTCACAGCAGTGTTCCCAGGCGTAGGAAATACCCTGTTGTGCGAAACCGCCCTGGCTCTTCTACAGAACATATGAAAAGTTATGTTCAATCTGACCACACATACTATGACATGCAACCAAGTGATAAGACATCGAATGTCTCTAAGTTTCCATTACAATATTATAGAGTATTGATAAATTAAACATCCACAAATTTTATATACATATTTGTAATTAATACTATCTATCTATAGATATTATATTCAGGAAAATTTAGAAAACAAATCTAATGTTACAAACTGGCAATGCACGATATAAATAGTAAAGAAATACATGCTCTTACCACAAGTTGGCATCACAGGGGCTAGGAAGAGTCAAGAATGCAAATGAAGTAACATGTGTGTGAGGCAATTGGGTGAGGTTTGGCAGTAAGTGCTAAACAACACTGATTTGTAGTAAGTATAAGGAACAAGACACTTGTTTTATTATGTTATTAATATATTCACGAATGTACTGATGGTCAAGAGTCTCCTTGGGGGTAGGTAGAAACATATGGTGCGGCACATGAAGTCCAAGGGTGAGATCCTACACCAAAAGCTGAGAAGCTACTGAGAACAAAGATTGGAAGACTTGCATGTATAAGAGTGAAATATAAATGCCTACTTGGCAAAATAATCTAGCCAGGCCCATGTGGCAATTTAAACAGTACTGTATTGTGTAATTACAAGTCATATGACATGAGCCGAAGCCCTGTAAGTACACATCATATGATGTGAACCGAACCCTACGGGGTCAAGGGTATTATATAAAGTTTAATTTATGTTTTTCCTCTCTAAATACTCACCAAGTGCTGTATAGTAATTACAATCATTCTGTGAGTGATGGAAAAATGCAACAGTGTCATTCTATCTTTTATTCTTTATTCACGTATTCTACCAGGTAATTAAATTGGAGCTGAAAACTGAAGCAATGTGTCATATTTATTCTTTAGTCGCAAATGGTTGTGGTTCCTATACCATACAAGTTACGATATTTACATGCTGACAGATCTTTATCAAACTTTTGGAAAATTTCTACTTTTCCTTTAACCCCCTGTCATTCAATCTTGAAATTTCCCATCTGGTTTATTTTGAAGGTCTTGAATATTTTTTAATCCAGAATGGCCTTATTGAGCTTTTATTTCAGTCCATAACAAATACAGTATTAACAAATGTACTGGTAAGCAGTTTTGTGTCTGTCTTCAGTGTATAACAAGAAATACATTTTACAACCACTTATAATGTCATCAGTGTTTTATGTTCCAAAAACTTTATCTGAGACAGAAAGAGTTGGAAAAAGGGGAAGATATAACATTTGTGTCTTGATAAATCATTGCACAACACAAAATACCTAGGATGCTTTGCTGGTAAACTATTTATCTCTGAAGAGAATGGAATAAAGCATAATTCAGTAAAATTAATATGGTTTAATAAAAAAAAATTATTTATACTGTATATATAAAATTTTGCTTTGTTTTATGCATAATGACCATAACATTTGGCAACTGAAGTAACTTTGTAGAGTAACTGTATAAACAGTACATGTTGTACTTTCAATGTAAAGTATGATACTAAAGTGAGTCAAGTCAATTTATCATCTTGTAGAAGTTAACGGCTAGAGCAAGGAAATGTAGCCTGACTCAGGCTAAAGCAATATATAATGCACATAAAAATGCCTACTAATATGGAATGCTACATATATGGAGATATATATATACACTATATACATATAATCTCCCATAATAATCTATGTACTGTACTGTAATTTTCATAACATTACCTGTCTGCACAATTAAAGCATATAACAATTTAAAACTAACTGAGGCAAATGTAATAATTTGTTGTAGATTGATTTAACTTTAAAAGAATAAAATTTCCCATATAATTTCTATGGTATCTTAGCACTACTTGAAGCCCTGTCTTATCCAAGCTTTTTTCCAATCTCCATCATCAGAAATATGTAGGGGTATTTTTTCCCTTCGCCTCTCAAATCGAGATGTTCGATTTCGACGTAATTGTTCTAGCCTTTCTTCTTCTGTATCCTCTCCTTCTTCCTCTTCATCATCATGAAGAGAAATAACATCATCATCATCTTCATCAATATTAACCTGTACCTCACTTAATGTGTGAGGGGCTGGAACCCTTGTGGATGAGGTAGGTTTACGGACACAGTTTACTTTTCGTCCCGAAGATTTCTTTATCCCTGATTTTTGCCATCGTTTACGGTATCCATCATTACCGCAATATTTCTTTTTGTGCTTCGACAGGTAATTTGAGTATTTGAATCTTTTGTGGCACTGATCACACTGGTATGGTTTATCTCTGCTATGTACAATCATATGTTCATTTAGTCCAGAACGGAATATGAATCTTTTATTACAAATATCACATTTAAAAGGTTTATCACCTGTGTGCGACTTTTTGTGAGTAGACAATGTAGAACTCTGAGTGAAGGCAGTATCACAAACATCACATACATACGGCTTCTCCCCAGTGTGAATGCGCTTATGATTTTTCATGCTCTGACTTGTGGTAAAAGTTTGCCCACATTCTTCACATGTATAAGGCTTTTCCCCCGTGTGTTGCCGCATGTGACCCGGTAGATGTGATGACCTAGAAAATGTTTTTCCACACACACCGCACATGTATGGCCTCTCACCAGTATGGACACGTTTGTGCATTCTAAGATTTGATCTTTGGGTAAAAGTCATCCCGCATTCATCACAAATAAATGGCCTTTCACCAGTATGTATTCGCATATGATCACGAAGATTTGCATTGCATGCATATGTTTTACCACATTCTAAGCAGGAAACTCGCTCACCATGAGCATTTCGCACCCTTGGCGGTCGTGGCCCAGGAGGTTTAGGAACATTAGCAGTGTTAGGTGTGTCAGCAGATAAGGCATGTGTTGATCGTGGAGCTTGAGGAACAGCGAGCTGAACAGACACATGTTGCGGAGTGCCATAAGAGGCATGAACCTGCTGATTTATCTGGTGGGCTACATCAGCACTCATAAGATCTACTTGAACCTTATTTGTCACTAGATCCCAGTTGTACCACCCAACACTAGCCCCTCCAAGGTGCTCCATCCTCCACCGTTATTTACCGGTAAAAATTTCTTACAAAAATACAAATTTCGTCTCATTTATTAATGTTTCTAAATATCTAATGTCAGTTTTATATTGTACCTTTTTAGGTGGCAATTTTCAGTAAACATAGCCAGCACTTATTCTTTATTTCCCACACATGATTTATGTCCTACCATAAGACATAAGTTAAAAGTGAAAGCTGTAAATAATTTTGAAAAGATGTAATTTTTTCAGTGTGGCAGCATTTCTATATCAAACTGCAAGTTTGATGCAATTTCTCTGTGAGACGATATTGGTGGAGGAACACAGGTGAGCCAGCTGGGGGGGCAGCATGTGCACTGCTGGATGTGTCACACAGTCAGCTACCTTCTACAGTGAGGGTCTCCAATTTTAAGTCCCGTTTCGTGCCACCTGTAAAAACACTGAAAGTTAGCAACAATGCATTGGAATAACTATTTGCACATCAGAAATACTGATCAATAACCTATGTGAAATTTACTAGCAATGACAAGACTCGAGTTGCTAATTTCAGTGTTTTACAGGTAACATTACTGAGGGACACCAAAAGACTTCATTAAATTTTTATTACAGAACACAGAGTACAATCATTTCATCAATAAAACACTCATCATACTTATTGAGAACAACGATAAGTATTACAATAAAACACTGATAATATTGGAATAATATGATATAAGGCTCTGAGTCAACAGAACATACAAAGTCGACTATACTGTACATAACCCAAATTCAGATCATATTTTTCTTGCACCCAGGGTGGGTACTGATAAAACCCTGAGATCATTTCTGAGATAATTAGCAAAAGCAAGGTGTGTAAGGCATCTTTACTTCTACCTCAGCTTAACAACAATCAAAAGTAACTTATAAATGATAATGTTTGTAGAACACCTAGGCTCCAAGTACCCATGTCAAAATCCAAACAAACACCAAGGGACAAGTGAAAAAAAATTATTTAAATTGCTTGATTATCTAAATTGGTGGTACTGTATAAGGACGCAAAGTGGAAGGCCTGTAAGTTTCATTACCCTATACTAGATACTTTTTGTGTAATCCTTCTCACTAACATGAGTGGGAGAGGAATACAGGAGAGATGTTGATCTATATGCCTCCCTACACATGCAGTATGGTAGGAAAATAAAAAGCATGCTAAATAGAGAAGAATAAGAAAGAATATATTCTCATGGAAAACTAAAAGGAATAGGAAAACTTTGCTCTGAGAACTTTAGCAACAATTTCCTGCATAAAGAAGGTGCATGACATGTTTTCTGGTGATGTATTATTTGCAAGGAAGATGAGAAGACAATTGCAGCCCCTAAGTATATACGAAATTTTGGATGTAGCAGTTAACCATGTACAGTACAGTACTGCAAATCCAGTTCTTGTGAACCCAGTACAAACGAGGGCAACATGTACATTATATCAAAGACAAGTACGATACTATAAGCCTATAAAATTGTTAAACAGAACAAAAAGGTTAGACAATTAGCTAATACAAGTAGCTATTTCTCTTCTCTCTTTAATTTTCAATTATGTAACCAATGAGGCATTTGGATAAGGTTTTTGTTCAACAATTAGCATCCCTCGGTACATTATAACTCATTTCAGATTTATTCCCAATAAAACAAAAATATTTTGCATGGTAAAATGGTAAAATGAAATACCGGGTACAGTATCTAAATTATTCAAACAAAATCAAATTTTTTGGGGAAATCTTGCTTGTGAATTTGTATTTATGAACTTATGATTGATCTGGTAATGCTTTGGTGCTGTAGGGGGTAGTAATAGGAAATGGACAACAAGGAGTATGCTGTGTTTTCGTTGCTCAAATTTCTACCCAAAGGAATTTTACTCGGTGGTGGGAACAAATATCATTGAGGGGTAATTCCAGCATCAGAATGCTTTTAACAGCTTATTAGATTGATTTTAATCCTATTTACATGGACTTAGGAAAAAGAGAGCGGCAGAAGCAAATCGAGTGTTGAGTATTCCAGGGACATATTTTCTAGTGGCAAATGCTCCTGCTTTGCAAGTTTCAAAAGTCTGGACTCTATTACAGCAGGTTTAAATTTACAGAGTTAAAAAAAAAAAATGTATACAGTTATGTTATCTGTATACACTTAAGTAATACGTTACGTAAACAAAGAGCTATTTTAATGTCATAGGGAAATTTTCTATAGAGTAAGCAAAGCTTACCTTGCTTCTTAGGAATACAAGCCACTGCTTATAGGGCACTTGTATTACTTATTATGGTTATTTTTACATTACAATATGTGCTTTTAACACAATTTATGCATCATATTTAGGTACACACAGGCTTAGTATAAAACAGTGGATGATGTAAACGACTTACATGTGAAAGAATTGACGTAAATGAAAATTTCTTCCTTTATTTATTAGCAATGCATGTGTGAAATGACGTACATAAGTACAACATATAGCCCCCTCCCCCCCCCCCTGTACACTGCAGGTGAAACAACATTGAACATTTCACATAACTAAAGTAGTATTCTGCATATACTGTACAGTATTTTAACTGAAGAATTTATGTCAAATAAAATGAAAAAGTAGAAATGCTGAAACCTTCAATTAAACATGCATGGAGTGACCCAACAAAAACCTCAGGAAATGGAAACACCAGAGTCGAGGAACAACACCGCTTCTCTTCACCGCCTCCAGATCTATCGTTCACATCTTTTGAACAAGTTTGTTATATGCCGATGATTTCTTGTCTCTGTCACAGTAATCTTTACTCTTAATTTCCCTTAGACAGTGTTCACTTCTGTTCAGTGAATTCAGATACAAATTCCCTCAAAAAGTTACACAAGTCTTAACATCTTGTCAACACAGAGACTGCGTTTGGACTGAGCAAATTGACACACTTGTCTACACACGTTCCTGTTTAATTACACAGTTTTAGTTTGTGCAATTAAATTTTCTGTCACCAACAGATAATACACAAGCCATGATTTTGGCCTGTACAGTTAAGACTACACTGTTAAACTGGAGTGAAAAACTGAGCATATGTTGCAGGCCTAAGAGCTTCAGCCTCAGCCCAAATAGATGAAAATTTGTTTTACGCTGTATTGTTTTTTTATGATTATTATTTTGTTTTATGGGTGATTATTGTTTGAATGTCATGAAATAATGACAGAACTGGGCCTTTGGCCAAATGCACAACTATATAATAGTTGAACATTACATTAATTGGGAGAGTTGTCAGATTTTTTTTCGGTAGCAGAGCAGTTAAATTGGAGTTGCTGGTCAATGGAATACCAGTCGCCATTGTCACGCCAACATTATCTGATGCCTCTAACATTTCTGCAACTATGGTATTGTAGAACTTCCTTCATATATTCCTTTTCAATCCTTGAGCATGTTCAATGTACTGATTCCATTACTTCTATGTTACCCGTCCCATTCAGAGTAGTGTACCAGCACTCCACTCAGCAGACGATAGTTGTATTTTCTCCAAGCATCCTCCATTTCCTCATCAACAATAACCAAATTGTCATAGTCATTGTTCATGCACAGTTTATCAATTATATCCTTGTTTCTACCCATTATTTGCCTTGTTATTCTGTATACCTCACCTCTAGCATCCATTAAATACAACATATCCACAAATAAATGCTGTTCAAGCTTCTTAGCCTTGTAAATGTCTCTTGTAGCCTTGCACTTGGCCTCCAGGTATTCCTACTTATCACCATCCAACTTCCAGGTCTTGTACAATCTTCTTTTCTTCTTTACCACTCTGTCCACTTTATCAATCCACCATGTTATTGCATGCCTGGCTGGGTCCTTCACCCACCAACACTTAACCACTTGTGTACAAAATGAGTCTCTTTGTCCCGAATGAAATTGTTTGGCATTAGCCAAAGAGAATATGAACCCCTAGCAGATGAGGAGTCTCTGTGTACTGAATAAAATCATCTTCCATTACCTAAAGAAAATATTAACCCCTTATGTATGAGGGGTCTCTTCTGTGCTGAATAAAATTGTTCGACATTTGCCACAGATAATATTAAAAATTGTGTCCAGTAGTGAAGGGGTTGACAGAACATCCTTTAATTTAGCCCAGTATCTTACTACACTTCCCCTAACACTGTCGTTGGCCATTTCCACTCTTCTCACCTCAGCATAGAACGCTACATTTGGTTCCTTAAATTTCTACACACGCTTCTTCTTGGAAACTAAGTACAACAGGTACAATTACCATAATGTTTAGAAGTAAAAAAAAGTAACAACTACAATAAATAAGACAAAACTATATCTTTGTCATCACTTGTAATTTATTTGTACAAGATAACAAATGTGGCTTATATTCTTGTAAACCTATTAACAATGACACACATGCACTGGGTGGAAGGTAATACAGTTTCTCTTTGTACACAAATTATATATATATATATATATATATATATTATATACTGTATATATATATATAGTATATAATTATTTTTTTTTTGCATGATTTGGAAGGTCAATAATATGATGAGATGTAAGAAATTCTGCTATTAGCCATGATGTATTGCTGACTGGTCCAGCAGTTCTGCCTCCTGGACGAACTACAAACATGGATTGTGATGTCATGGTAAACAGGACAAGCTATATAGCAGTACAGTACCCTCTTCTATAACTGCCCAGCCAACTACACAGATACTATACCTGTGTTTGGTAGCATTAAAGAACTCATCCCCTTTTCAGTGCTGTGTCTCTTAACCAACATCTTGTTGCCCCTCTCCACTGATAGACTGGATACTTCCTACATCCATCTAGTGCCCCTCTCATAACCATTTGCCCTTATCATAAATGCTTAGTGTCTTCAATAAAATATTCCTTTCATGTTTCACTACTATTTCAAGGATTCCACTACACACCAATAAGTACTTTCCATCTCCCTGACATCTATAGATCCTCATCTTATAAGAAACCTTCCCATGTTTAACTTCATCCCCATCTTGACATATACTGTAAGTGTCTAGATCTAATTCTTATGTATCTGGATATATTCCTGTTTTCTTTTTATATAAATCGTAATATTTTTAGACACATTTCATCATTTTTTTTGTTTCTCTGCAACACCAAAATCTAATTCACTCTGTTACTTGAGTTGTATTTCATTCCATATACGGTATTCATTTACATACTTTTTACAGTAAAAATATATATGTATAACCCGGTACACCATCGATTTTCCGGCACCCTTGGTTCCAAAGCCTTGCCGGATAATCTGTTTTGCCGGACCAACCGAGGTCAGGTAATAATAATTCAACAATACGCCTCTGACCCACTAATTATAAACCTCCTGTGTCACTAAAGCACCGTGGACTGCTAGAAACTTAAATTAAACAAATATTAAATGTAAATTAAATGTGAAAAAGCCATAATTTTGAGCAACATTACTGTACACAAGTTGTACTCAAATGTACTGTACTACAATGGACTAAAATTTTTTATCTCCAGTGCAAACTATGTGATAATGATACTCAAATTAATCAATATCTTACAAGGATTCCAGCAATGTAATTTAAATTCTGCTAAGTCTAGTCTGCGACAATTTTATAAGATAAAAACTTTAAGCCTAAACTGCCTTCACCCTGGCTGTGAGGAAGGGGAGGGGAGGGGGTGAGATGTTGACTGCTGTCAGGGAGGGGAGATAACAAAGTGTCACTGAATTGACTTGGCAGAATATAATTTGTATTACTATAATTCTTGTAAGATAGTGATTAATTTTAGCATAAACATCACATAGTTTGCACTAGACATACAATTTTTAGTCATTAACTTCTTGCAGGTTTACCCTTAGGACAATTATTTCTTTTAATTTTTTCACAATAAACATTTAGGATGGTGTGTGCATGTAAAAGAGTAAAAATAAATGAAGAAAATTACATAAATCTTCCCAAAAATATGAGTTAAAAAACTTGTACACAAATGTACTACACTAGACTAAAATTTCTATCTCTTGTGCAAACTGTGATGTTTATACTCAAATTAATCACTATCTTACAAGGATTCCAGCAATGCAATTTATATTCTGCTAAGTATAGTCTGTGACATTTTATAAGATAAAAACTTTATGCCTAAAACTAGCTTCACCCTGGCTGGGAGAGAGGGAGGGGAGTTAAGTGCCCTCTCATAATTTTGTCTGTACTAAAGGTGGTGCCGGACCATCAGGTCCAGGATAATTGGTGGTGTACCTTTGTTTATGTGCTATTGATTTATGAAGCAGGACTAAACCTACAACACTAAAAGACCCAACACCATCAAGCATGCATTTCTACATAAAAACAATATGCAAATTGCTGTACAGTACTGTATATACTGTATCACATTATTAAGTCAAACTTCCAATAAAAGGTCTTGGTCATCAAAAGACCAATGAATTTCAATTCACTGAAGGCTACTGAAGGCTACTGTACTGTACACTGTAACTGCTAGGCTCAATACTGCACTAAGAACTCAACTCACCTATTAATGTTGACCAATTATTTGTAGCAATCAAATCATTCTTCAATAGGCTTGGATTATGTAGCTGCCCTGAAATTATTTAAGGATATTAGATACCATGCAAATTAAAGTGAAGAGTGCACAGAATGATATGTGGACTGATCCTAATTTACTTTGGGGTTCAATCAAAATGCATTACAGTGTTGTTACTTTATTACAAACAAATAATATACTGTACAAGTACTGTATAAGCTCCTTTACCTCAAAAAAAAAAAGTTGATTGTATTTCAAAATTACCAGATTGAAAAAAGTTGATGAATGACCAAGAAAGAGAGGAGAGAGAGGAAGAGAGGACCCTATGAACCAAGGTAGACAAGTCAACACAATCCTGACGTGCTAATCTGAGGTGAAGATCATACCTTGTAAACCTCATTGACCCGAGATGCCTGGGACAAAGTTCACACACCCAAGATATATAGGGACTTACTAATAGTAATTCCTCACCTGTTTTAAATCTTCATACATGTGTTTTCGCATTATTTATCGACATGACAACACTTAACACTTGGGATCTGTGGATGCCACGATGATGGCCAAGAGGGGAAAAAATGCCTAGAAAATTAACTCTCTGGTGGATATCATTTAAATTTGGACCCCAACAACTGGCTCATGTTTTCTACAACAGGGTAATATGTCATATGTGAAACATGCTCTGTAATATATCAAGGCTGTGAGCATGCACACTTCCTGTTCTGCCATAAATGTGAGTGGAGTGCTCTCCTCGCCCTGGACATTTAAACCAACCATGTCAGCACTACTGGTCCTTATGTATTGATAATAGTGCAGTTCATTCTTGTAATATTCTATGTGTTGTAGTGGTGTAAAGAGTGTTGTGGCGAGTCATAAAGGCTGATATTTGTAGAATTTTACCATTAATCATATGAACCTGTCAGGTAGAGTGTGCAACCCAAGGCCTTACTAAGGGAGAAATTGTAGCTCAGTGATCAAAGATATTTATTATCATGTACTTGCATTACTTTATGTTTTATACATCGTGTGACATACTGTACAAGTGCCAAATTTTGAGTACAGTATCACTGGTTTCCAGGAGATTCCTAGCACAGTGTGGTGGGAATATTCACTGGATCACATCAAAGAGGTGCTTCATCTTATACAGTATGTTCCTAAAAGGATAATTTGTTATTATCTACTATACCCACATCCTGGAAACAGCTGTTCACACTCAAGGTGATTTATCATACACTAAAAAGTGTTTTAAGAAGATAGAATTAGTACTGAAGTGAGAAAATAGAGTGTCTTAAAGGAATCTTCTGGTATATGTTGTAGAGCTGCAGTCCTGTACTGTATATTTCCTATTAAAATAAGAGAGAAGGATTTAACACTATTCGATACTACTGTACACGACAATTCTCAATTTAACTCGCATTACAGCACATCAAGGGTGTATTGTATTGTAGTCATACACTGTCTACAGAAAACAGATACAATACCATTTTACACGAATTGTAATAAAAAATAAGATAACATTAATTAAACACCTGCTAACTTTCATATTATTGCTGTATTTTATATTTTATCATGTCTCCCATTACTTTTAATGCCAGTTATAATTTGGCTGGAATTTAGTAAGTGTTTGGAAACAATCGTGACCCATCTCAATTGTCTAGATCTGCGTGGGTCTCCTGCAGACAAGGTACTGATATGATATTCTCTGCGTGATAAAATAATCTCGGGATACACCTAAACATGTGAGCCCTAGGCAACACTGAACTGCCAAACAAATATATTTTGCCTTATTCAATTTGGCAAGCTGTAGCTGGGCAGTCACAGTCCTTCATTCTAAATGTGTTGGGCCATTTTTATCAATCCTTCCAGATTTTGCCTCTCCCTGGAGACCCAACTTTTTACTTCATTCATTAAATCTGTCCTAGGCTCTTCCTTCCCCTGGCCCTCTTACTCTCAACTTTGTCCATTAATATTCTACTACCCTGTATTATCCCTTCATCAATAATTATATGGCCAAAGTATTGTACAAGGTATCTTATTTATTTTTTCTGTAAATTCTAAGTACAGGTACATGCATTTTTCTTGGTGTTTTTGCCAATATTAGTACAGTACTGTACAGTAATTCATTTGTTAGCCTATTAGTGCAACTTTTTTTTTTTCTGTAGCATCATAATTCAATAGCCTCTAACCTCCAGGTGTCTGCTGAAAGTGTCCACACTTAGGACTCATACAGCAAGTTTGGGGCCAGAAACAAACCCAATTCATGAATTGTCTTAAATTCCAGATATAGTAGACCTAGAATACAGTACAGTACAGTACGCTGTAGACAAAATATTAAATGTGTGACAAACCTTGCCAAAAGACTTGAGAATGCAATCCCCAGATGATCCCAGAATGAAACTGGTACTGTTTAAGTTTTGTTACTAAAAACTTGACTACAAATTATTAAAAACAAATTTAGTGAATCAATTGTAAATATAAAAGTTGTATTAAAAAAAACTGCAGGGGTTGATTTAGACCATTCATAATTGTTTATCTCACTCCAGCAACTTCCTGTTGGTTCCCCTCACAGAGGGAGTTAAGTGCAGACACCACATGTAGCTTTCATGTGTACAAACAGTACCACCTATCTCAATACCCAAACCACTGACCACCCAACATATGGATGCTCCCATACACCTGTATAGTACTCAAGTTAAATTGGCTGGACTTTGGGAACTTCCAAAGTTTGGAGATACAGACAATTGATACACTGCTTCAACACAAATCTTCACTTCCCAGGTCCAGTAGGGCTGAGATAACACACCCAGAGAAGGGTTAATCATGAACCTTGTAGGATAGATTCAACCCTTAAATGTCTCTATAGCTAAAATAAAATCCATTTTGCTAATACTGTAATCACTTGTGAAATCTCCAACACACATCACTAATTATCAATGCTACTTCTTTCAATCACATGCACTCTTCTCTATTACAATGGTCTTTTCCCTTCAAGTTAACTATTTTTATTTTATTTTATTAAATAGTCGGTGGTTCTAGATTTGTTTTTATATGAGTGTAACTTCAAACCATTAAAAAAAATCTGGGAACCACATCAAAATATATCATGGTATAAGCACAAGTTTACCATAACACTGAAAATTTTAAAACACTATAAAAATGCAGTTGTCGTAAAGCTGCAGTTATATCGTAACAAGTACAATATGACAAACCATTTTGTAAATGTTCAATACCATGGAGCCAGTATTTCCTTGCCAATGCTCTTTAACTGTTATTTTGTACATGCAATTAACCAACTACAGTATTATATGCTTACATGGCTAAATTTCAATGCTAAATTCAACAATAAGCAAAACAATAAAACAAATTGACAGTTGTGTACAGTACTCCTGGCCACAACAATTAACTTTTAATAGTCTGCATAATTCCATCTCTTAAGGTACAATGAAACTCACAAAACAAGTCTTTAGTTGTATTAAAAATATATCCAACACTTGAATCGAAAACTAGGCATCTTCATATAAAACTTTTATGAAATATTGCATAGTAAATTCCCTAAGAATCATCTTCAGTTTGTGAACAATTACTCATTCTATGAAATCTTGAACAAATTCACACAAGTGACAAAACTTTAGTTCAATCACAATACCTCATCATATTTACAGCACCCAAGCTTTCTTAATACAGCATTAGTTAAGTCATCATACAGTACTTCTTCTGGGCCTTAGTACAGTATTCAATTCATAACATTTACTGTATATTCTACTTGCAGAGGCGGATCCGGGAATATCAAAAGGGGGGTCCAAGACGTTATGGGTCGGGGAACATGGCGAGCACTGTGAGCCCACCCAGCTGGGGGCGTGTGTGTGTGTGTGTGTTTTTGGTGGGGCGCTGTAAACACCCCCCCCCCCCCAGATTTTTTTAAATCTGACCAATATCATGGGCATTTTGAGGTAATTTTTAAGCCCTATGCACTTGATATTCAGAGGTCAATAGTAATTACTTTTTACGATACAAAAATGCCTGAGTACAATACTGCATTAAAATGTAGTCATTTTCTTATAAATGGGGGGTCTGGACGCCCAGGACCCCCCCTGGATCCGCTCCTGACATGGTACATAAAACTTACAGTACAGTATATTAATTACAGTATTCTCTTATCAGTTTATACAAAAATAACAATTACAAATGGTTTCTCACTGAAACCACACAATTCATACATCTAAATCCTAAAAGAATGGTATCCAAAAATAGAAAGGATTTCTTGAGCAACAAATTTCACATGATCACATATAACTTCTGGGATACCAGGCACTTGAACCATTTCTGGGTGCACATGTTTGTTGCTCTGCCTCAGTGATCATGAGAGGACCTGAAACTTGAGGGAGCACTTCAGAGATCTGATGGTGAATATCCATCAATGGCGAACCTTCTTCAGGGTCACAATGGGTATGTTCAGTAAACTCAGGACTTGAAATATCTGTGAGGTCTGCCCCTGTTCCTTGATGATGAGCTTCAGGTATTTGTTGAACATTTTGAATTTGTGTATGAGATTCTGAGAGACTTGAGTGATTTTCATTTATGTGCTTCACATCTTGTGAATGGTTTTTCAATGTATCATTGCTATAAACTGATAATCTCTCACTCTCATGACAGGAAGATGAAAGATAATTCACATTTACATTAGCTCTACATTGGTGGGCAGTGAGTCTACTAATGGATTTTCCCAGAGTTCTGATGACAGGATTATCTTCTGAATCTCTTTCCTCTTGTTTCACTTGCACATTTTTCACTTCATACAGGGCCTCTTCACTGAACGACTCGGTTAATGGGGATTCTTCCACATATTCAGGTTCAGATTCGCTATTTCTACGCCTCTGAGAACGGCGTAATCTTTTTGCTTTACTTCTCTTCATTGGCCTCCCAGGAGGTTTTATAGCCTTACGGGATTTACCCATCTTTCGGATACTTGCAGGCTTACGACCTGGCTTTTTTGCATCGGGTCGTCGAACTCTATTCTTATATCCATTGTTACCGCAGTATTTTTGTTTATGCTTTGAAAGATATGATGAAGTCTTGAAGGATTTGTCACATTTTTCACACGTATAAGGCTTTTCTCCTGTGTGGACACGTTCATGTGTTTGCAATCCTGACCTAGATATAAATGCCTTCCCACACTCCCCACACTTAAAATTACGTTCACCGGTGTGAATTTTCTTATGAGTAGCTAAGCATGAACTCTGAGCAAAAGTAGCCTCACATACATCACATACAAATGGTCGTTCTCCTGTGTGCGTCCTCATGTGATTTTTCATGATTTGATTAGTGGCAAAAGAACGGCCACATTGAGGACAATCGAAAGGCTTTTCCCCTGTGTGTGTACGCATATGTCCTGGAAGGTGTGATGAGCGAGCAAATGTCTGTCCACATATTCCACACATGTATGGGCGCTCACCGGTATGAACACGTTTATGGCTACGCAAATTTGAACGCTGAGTGAAAGAAGCACCACATTCTTCACATACATAAGGCCTTTCACCGGTATGAATTCTCATGTGATTCCTTAGATTTGCCCCACATGCAAAAGTTGCACCACATTCTTGACAAGGAATCTTCTCTCCTAGAGCTGGACGTAATCGGTGAGGAGCCCGGGACTCATGACTTTGGGGAGTTTCATCCTGGTTAACAACAGCTTCTTCAACAATGGAGCTGTGAAGACTACGATGATCCTGCACATAGTGCATACCCCCAGCTGACAACTGTGGCACTGTGTACTGCATATGAACCTGGGGGGTAAACTGTCTCCCAACATCCACCCCACCCAATTCCATAGGAGGAAGCTGGGAACTCCCCAGCAATTCCCCAAAACCATTATAATTGGTGTACCAATTGACCCCTGATGAAGGGGCCAAGTGGTCCATGATGATGTGCCACAACACAACCTGCCCTCACTTCATTATCATCCTCACCGCGCCATGACTGTCGGGTTACGTGGCACCTGTAATTATATACTCAGAATTAGCATGCATACTGGATATGCACTGACATGAAGCTAATTTCGATAGATTTCAAGTAATACGTGTATTTTCCATCTCTTTGGCCGTTCACATGATTCATAAGTTGCCATGAACCACCTACAATTCTATGGTAACATAAAAAAGCTCAATGATTTTGAAATATTACTGCTCCTTCCACTTCAGGTAAAACAGATCATCCATCTAGAGTTGTTCACAAATACAGTTTCACATAATGGTGCCATGTAAACCGAAGTCCACTAAATACTCTTATTTCACATACAGAATTGAGTTTACATATTGCGACATTCTAGAACTTTGCTAAGGATGAGAGTTTGCAGACAAGGACATGAAACTTTATACATGCAAAAACTTATCAGCAATGATAGTTTTTCAATGAAGATTCATATTTGGACACAAACCTGTAATTCTGTACCCTAGTTACTACAGTATTTCATCTACATATGCTTCCCATCTATTCCAATTACCATGTTTTTGAAGTCAACAAATGAATTTCTTCCCTACAAAAATTCCTCACAATAAAAGCTGATATTCTAGATAGCTCCATGACTAAACTACTGTACGTACATGATTTTAGTGAAAGAAACAAACCCAAACCACAGTGCTGTACTGCACTAACATTTCTTCACAGACTATAATAAATTATTTTAATTAAATCTATAATTGAGTATTTTCTCCCACTGTGGCAAGACCTTTCCCACAACAGAGCAGGGTAGGTGACTGACAAGGAAGTATTCACATTATTTGAAACTTTGGTATGTTAAATAAAAGTTATATATACATTATATGTACATAAATTTACACTGTTCACCATATACAGTACAGTACTTCTGAGGCTACAGTGTTCCCAAACAACGTACAATAATCCCTTAACAAACACATTAACATCGCTGACATTACAATTTGTACAAACACTAATTCTAATCATGTACATAAACCCAAACATTATTTTGCCATTGTTTTAGCAATCATTTAAAATTGAAATCTGTTCTCCATCACACCCTTTATATTTGATATGACAGTAATAAAGTTCTTGTATAAATCAAATGAAAAGAATGAATGACTTCTTCACAAAAATACAGCAACAATAGTTCTTATATTCAGTTAAAGCAACATGTACAGTATATTGTAATAAATATATTTTTATTACATAGAAATTAAGTACCTTCATTAATAAATAAATCTGTATGATCTCACTTTAAAGTGCTTTTTATTTAGTATTGCAAATATACAGTACAAATTCTTCCATCATGAAGCCCATGACCAATGCAATATAAAACACCACTTCTTAATTATCACTCATATAAACAAGCACAACTGTCAAAAACATTCCCCTCAAAGTCTTCATACAGCACACACACACACACATCTCCTTTAACATATACAGTATACACTCAAATCTAAAATAAATAAATAAAAAATAAAAAATAAGTACTGTACCCACTATAGTAAAGGTATACATATTTCCTGTATACACTTTGCACCTCAAAAGATACAAAAATTAATCAACACGTTCCTTTTCAGTTGTACGTATCCATACTTCACATTTTACAGTAGTCAAGATTTACGCTTTCTTTGACACAAATTCTTCTACGGAATTAAACGAGTAAGAATTAGACATCTTTTTATAATACATCAGAATTGTTCAGACTGGAAAAAAAAATCAGGAGTAACCTCCTGGACAATGAATTAGTGAAGTGTGAGAAATGAATGTAGTACCTGTACCTTCTTTTACATAATGATTTGCACAACTAAAATTAAAAAAAAAAATCTATGTAGAATATAAATATAAAAATACAACATTACGTAGAGTAGAAGCAGTGTAATATTAGGTATCCGTAGTCATTACAAGAAATATGTATGGGGGTATTCAGAAATGGAAAATCAACATTCAAAATAACTACTGCATAGCTGATAAAACAAAAAATACATGCCTCTGTGTGTGTGTGTGTGTGTGTGTGAAGTACAGTAGTCAAGACCCAAAACAAGATCATCTGCAATTTTAACTTTTATGGATCACCTGAAGATTCATTCAACAGTTTAATCAGCCTGAAGTTTTACCACCCCCAAAAATTATCGGGGAGGGGGGGGGGGTAATCCTCAGGTGATCCAAATACTGTACTGTACAGGTACTCTGACTTACGACAACCGAGACATACGACCGCCGTAGTCGTATAAAATATGTTTCAAATTACGTAATTTCGATACCCGACATTAGTGATCGCGCTGTGTACTGACAAAATTTTTGTTAGTAATTCCCTTTAAAACGGCTGGCAAGCGTAAAAGTAAGAGTTCTTGTGGTGCTGAGAAGAAAAAGAGACACCCATTTTAGATTTTCTATGTATTATTTTTGCATTTTCGACTTACGACCTGGTCGTCGGGACAGAACCCCGTCGTAAGTTGAGGACCGACTGTGTGTGTGTGTGTGTGTGTGTGTGTGTGTGTGTGTGTGTGTGTATATATGCAAACAGTACTGTACCATGTAAAACACATCTCTGTGGTTTACAGTATATGTGAAACGATAACAATTGTTCCTGCCTTATTAAATCAATACTGGGTGAATACTTTCCAAAGGTGAATAAAGCCCAAAAGTCTATTAAAAGAGCACGTAGGACAAGTGAGAGGTGCCAAGACAGTACCTGTACCGGTATATACAACTGTGACCAACTCATATGGATGAGACAGAGGCTCAAGCCCGTGCTAGACCTCACTGGTATGTGTCATCCTGTTTTGGAGCACGATGAGTTGGCCACCAGCCACCTCAATGCTCTAGGCCCCAGAGCATGTAGGAAACAACCCCATTAAAATAGAGTGTGGGGTTGGACCTCTAGGATGCTGAAACAATAAAGTTCATGCAAAACCAAAATAACCATTTAAAACAAGTTTATAGCTTACCTAGGGAGTGTACAGGCTCATGTGCTGTGTTGGATGTAGCCTATTACAGCTACCTGGAAAGAAAAAAGAAAAATAAAAGAAGCTGATTTGTTAAAAAATATAAGAGAAAATACATACAGGAATAACAACACACACACACACATATATAATATATATATATATATATATATATATATATATATATATATATATATATATATATATATATATATATATATATACAGTGTGTATATATACAGTGTGTATATATATATCAACGGTAGTCGTTGGTGTGGAGTAAGGACAGAGCGTGAGGGAGGTGGGCGGCGGGCGGTGCTCAAGCTCCTCCCCATAACCCCACCACCCACCACCTGTCCTTGTTCCCACCATCACTGACACTCACAACATTCTTTGTAGAAATAATGTAATGCGTTTCTAAAATACTATAGGATTGAAGAAAACATAATAAACTTTGTTTACATGCTGAAATAAGGAAAGTAAAGAGGAGAAAAAGTTGGAAGCAACCATCCTTCCCTTCGACGCTTGACGGCCATTGGCCCACATCCAAAAACAGGAACCTTGAGTCCTTAAACGCAATTAATCTCAAATAGAGAGGGACACAGCTGTTAATTTATTTTATAAAATATTTTAAAACGTAACCATTTCAACATAAACTATTAAATACCTCAATAATGTACTTACCAACGGCCACAATTGGCTGATGATGTAGGAATCAAACTCCAGCCGTCGACATCTATGGTTGTGCTGCCGACTCCACCGATACCCGCCCGTCCCCACCACCCAGCGATGGTGCCACATTTACACTTGTGCTACAGTCACTTATTTTAAAATATTAAAATTAGACACATCATTCATATGAATTATAAAAAATACATGTACACACATCTTTCCACGTAGGATATACTAATTCTATAATATGTAATGTTATACTGCAAATTTTCTTGTGGCCATTTGTTGCGAGTGGCACATCTCCCCAGAGCGGCAAGATGTGCCAGGACTCGCTAGATAGGAGTAGTTAGTCCCACAATAATATTGGTTTGAAGAGTTCCTCTCTATAAAAACAAATCTTACTCTTCTAGTATGTAATAAATGGAAAAGTGACAAGAAATAATCTTGACGCAATATTTGGATATAATTAATATCCTAAACTTTAATAAAACTATCTGTACAATATATATATATATTATATATATATATATATATATATATATATATATATATATATATATATATATATATATATATATATATATATATATATATATATATACATGTATATATATGTATATATATATATAGTTGTACTACTTGTACATACAGTAGTTGGTACTATTTAGCAACTGATGACATTGTATTCCATCTACCAACTATATCTTATCCATTGTCGTTATCAAATTCACCACTTGAATGAAAGAAACTAGCTTCCCCCGGCAGAAATTTCAATATCCTTTTCTAATTTTGAAATTTGTAAATTAGAGATCTAATGTTGCATCACCCGAAAGGTGAAAATTAACCACCCTAGCTAACGCTACCCTATCCTATGCTAACTTAACCTAACCTCTGCAGGCAGCGGTATGGCAATTAATCTTCAGGTAAAATAAGTTGGACAAATCTTCTGCTGATCCTAAATTTTTTATCACTACACGTGCAGAAACGACAGACCACCTGTAGAGTGGCTGAATCAATGGAGCAAATAGGTCCTCCCAGACCGTGATGTAAACAGTAAAATACATTATTAGCTTCATGATTAACATTTCAAGTATTATCATTAGCCCATACTTCCAGTATTCAAATGACTTACTCCTCCGACTCGTGTTTATTAAAAAAAATTGATCTATCATTTCTGCCACTTCCAAGCTTACCTGCCATTCAGCTGTTTGTTGTTAAGACCTTTATTGTCCAGCGTTAGTACAAGAGGAAACCAAAGTGTCCGGGCTGGTGCCTACATGATCTACATCAAACTTTAGACAAGCAACTTTTTTTATCCTTTTACTTTATACTCTTAGGAGTAGGACGTGTGCCAGCTCCAGGTATGGACACTCGACCGAGATGTTTATACATTTCATTTAGGTCACCCCTTGTCCATCGATAATATAAGCTAGGCAGTCACAGGCGTTCTAGTCTCTCCATGTAACTGTGGTGCGTCACACAGGCACTAGTCTAGTGGCCCTCCTTTGAACATTTACAATTATCTTACAATCTCTAGCATATCTTGGAGACCAGACTGGGTGACAGTACTCCAGGTTGGGAAGCACCTAATTCTTGAAGAGCGTTACGAGGGATTGTCTCGATATCTGAACGACCTTCTTATAAGACCTACCGGTACTAGTTTAGTTGCTTTAGAACTTCAGTTCATTGTCAACATACACACCCAGGTCCTTTTTACATCCAGTCTCTATTAATGCTGTTTCTTCATCCCGTTGGGACATGTGATATGCCTCCTTAATGTTGATACGATCTAGGTGCATCCTCTTACACCTTGTGAATTGGAGTCTTAGCAGCCATTTCTTCGACCACTCTTGAAGCTGACACAGATCTTTCTGTAGCTCTTCACAGTTTGTTTGGTTCTAGGGGTTAATTAACAAAACTGAATAAAAATACAATATGAAGTAAAGATTACTACAAAATAATAAAAATACATTACATGGCAACTTTACTCAAAATCACACATACTCTGTATTTGATAATTATTGAAGGTACTTTTACTTTACTTTTATCCCCTTTGCCACTTGGGCAGTTGGTCATGACTGTTGACATGTAATGGCTCCTGAATGTATCTGTAATTGTGTCAGTGATGGCCAAGTCTGGTCTTGAAAGAGCTTACACTCAATGTGATCACAACACTCTCTGGCAGATTGTTCCAAGAGTTTTAAATTCTCTCTAAAAAATTTTGCCTTTAGTTTTCTGAACTTATGGCTTCTTCAGCCTTGAGCTGCGACCCCACACAGTAAACACAAATTGGTCGTGGCACGTTGGAGTACTAAAGTTAAATTTTAATGTATTTTTATTATTTTATTATTAATCTCTGCTATTAAAGTTTACCAAACATAAGTTCCACTAGGATATATTTTTTGTGAGAGTTTGGGAGTTACTGATGGTGCTGAGCGAGTGTTAAGCAATGCTCTCACCATGCCTGCTGTTGTATTTTTAAAGGTTCACATTTTATACTTCGCAAATAAGACGACCCTTAATTTTAGGGAAGTTTTTTAAGCTTCAAAGGTCGTTTATATCACTACTGTATATACAATAAGTCTGGTTGTCGACAACTGTTTCCAATGATATGACTGTTTTGTACTGTAAAGTGTTGTGTAAGTTAGTTCTGGTAAACACAGAATTTGCAGGAAAGTTGATTCAATGTGCTCGTGTGCCTTATGAATAGAGAAAAGACTGGGAGATAAGAGTGTAACTAGGAGCAGCATGTGGGAGGTAATGAAGGTGGGTGGCTCCCTCCCCCAGGATCCTTATAACATGTCTTTAATCAATTTCACCATAATTCCCATATCATTAGGTTTGTTTGGTGTCGGGTTGATATAACATTATCATAAAATTATAAATTCCCCCCCCCCCAAAAAAAAACTCCCACACTCAACCCCAGACGAGTCATTGCATCGTACAGTATTAAATTCCTGGTCTTTTGTTTACAAAGCACAAACACCCAGCTGATCATCCTGCCCTCCCTCACCATGTTAACAGTGCTCTCCATCTCTCATGCTTACCACACATTCAGTCTTCAGCACATAGTAAAAAATGCTGTATTGTATTTATCAGGACTTACTAAATAATGTTGTAATATGTTATGCATCTGTATAGTCTCTGGTTTATTCATAAATCAGTTGTCTAAGTGCACAAGTAGCCAAATCGGGCCATCATTTATCACTCAAAGGTAATAAATCTTGTTTTTAGGAATGTACCAAAGCAGCATCTCCATATCAAATACTGTACTGTACAATACATATGTTATAATGACCCATTCTGAAAGCTGTCTTTCCAGGAATGCATCCTGATTGAATACCTTCTGATACAGCTTATCCTTTTATTTTCAAGTCAAGTTACAAATTATATATATTGTATTTTTCTATTGGTATCCCTCGATATATGGATGGGTTAGACTAAAAAACATTTAAGTGAATTTTCGTATTTCGAATAACAGAACATATGGGGAAAATTGGGTTTGGTTCTCCAATGACAAAAATACCCCAATATCATAGCCCAAAACACAAAATCGTTCACAAGCAAGAAAAAACCTACCGGTACCTAACTAATGATAAACAGTACACAACTACTGTACCGTAATTTACTCCCAAAAACACTGAATACATTAATAAAATACTATCTAGATGAAAATATGCAGCTAAAATTTGAAGGAAAAGTTAAATCAAAGTTTAATACAGTCTCCAGCGGTAGCATTTGCGTACACGCTGGCCGCTTCAAGAAATGGCCATAGCAACGCAGCTCGGCTACCTCTGCCAATCCAACGCTTCCCCTCCCACTCTTGCACACAAAAAATGTTTATTCCCTTTTTGTTTTTGACCTAATGACAGTTATTTATTTTACATTATTTTGGCACATTATGTGTGTAGGATTGTGTATGAATATTTAAAAAAAAAAAAAAAAAAAAAAAAAAAATGAAATGAAGAAAGTTTATCTAAGTTTATCTATCAAAAACTGAGTTGAAAAATAATCATAACATAACTCCCATCCAACTCAATCTGCTAACTCTCACTGGTGCACAAAGAAATGTTTATTCCCCTTTATGTTTTTGACTTCATATTTATTTTTTCCACATTCAGTATGCAGGATTGTGTGTGCATGTAACAAAATAAAAAAAAGAATGAAGAAAGTTATGTTTATACAGTATACCTGAAATTATGAGTTGAAAAATAACCATTACATAACTCCTACCTCAGCCTGGTAGGTAGAGCACTAGGGGGTGGTATGCTGCCCCAGCTGACTCTCGGGGGTGCGTGACTTGAATTTTTGTCGAAACCCAAATTCATATGAGTGAGGGAAACTTCCATAATACAAAAAAAAAAGGTGATAATTTAGGAAATCCATATAAACTAATTTTCACATCTCAAACGTTCATATAGTGAGGGATACCTGTATTGAAGATGTTATATTAATTATGATGAGTCATACACCATAAGATGCTGATCATACAAAGATATAATACTGAATTATTAAATAAAATTCCACTATGAATTGAGTCACCTTCCTCCTGGAATTGTTGGTAAACACATGTGACATAGATGCTGTAATAAGCAGCCGTAAAATGCATATAAAACTAGGTCATATTGTTGGTGCTGTTTTTCTTATACTTGAAATTGATCTTATGGGAATATAATTTTAATAATTTATTCACCATAAAAAAGTTGTGCAAACAAATACATTTCAGATGTTCTCATAACAATCCTAAACCTTTACAGTACTCCTATCCAATGAGATACATATATACAATCTAAATTACTCACAATATAACTTAGACCAGGAACAAATAAGGAGCCATCTTACACCACTATACATATAATGTACTTCCTTTTTTATGCATTTTATATATGCTTTTCATTTAACTATGCATACAATTTCATAATATCTCAAATGAATGAATCCTAAATTCTGCTTTTAGATTCTGCTGAGCGAGACACATCATCAATCTTCTGAGTGAGTAATGCTGCATTTTGGTCCACCCACTTTAATGTGTCCATGTGAGCAGACAGAACACGAGCTACAGTATTTACTGGATCAGAGGCCTGCGACCCAGAGTTGTTTGTGTTCAAGTGCTCGATAATTTTGCACAAGTCGTCGGTCATTTGGCGTAGCTGAGAATCAAGATTCTGAAAAGATAAGCTAAGTTACTGAATCCAATCATGGAACAAAATACTAGAAGTTCATTATTGAAGACACAACCTTGAACTAAACAGGGACATAATGAAAAAAAAAAAAAAGTAAGCTTGCCAGTTTGGATCAAATTACAAACCTAAATGACTACTACATAAGCAATATTTCAACACTATAACAAGTTTGAAATCCATGACAGATAATGTTAGTGACAATTTTTCTTAAAAAAATTGAGACCTGGGATTTTTTTCTCAACTTCAGATTTCTGTGCACAGGATCTATGCAAACCCGGAACTGCTTGTATTAAGGTCTAAATTCTCCAAGTCTCACCTGGGCAATGTGGTGCATGTTTTCTCGTTGGCGATCTCCCTGATGTTGCGCGGGAGTAGTGGTAGCAGCAGCAGTCTCCAGAGGTTCAATCAATTGCTCTAATTCTTGTTGCTGTCCCTGAATAAAGTCCAATTCTGCCTGGAGTTTTGTCTGGTCAGTCTGTAAGTTGGTAAAAAAATATGAGTTCTTTGTTCTTTCACCAAGTGATAGTTGGAGTAAACTGTGTGGATATTTATGAACCTAAATGTTTAATATTGAACATGGGTTATTAATATAATTATATAAGAAGTTGGAGGAATTTTCTTGAAGAGAAGCTACAATGGCACTGTGTGTCACTGGTGAGACAGTACACATTGCTGCCAGGGGAAGAGAGCTCCCGGTAACACCACCTACTCAGTGACTTACAGCTGCACCAAAACCCAGCATCAAGCTGCCAAGAGTGTATGATTGACTAAGGAAAAATTAACTATCTTTCCACAAATGTTAAAAACCCAAGTGTAAAAACACCCAAGTGTTGAGCCTGGGTTAGAAATTACAGTAGGCTCGGTGTTCTTAGGTAGCTTGACTCGGAAATCCACCCACCCTCTGGAATTTTCCACCATGCAATACTACAATGCAGACCCCCACCTAACCTGGAATTTTGGTCATAATGAACAAGTCTTCCCCCAATTAGTCTGGATTAGAGGGAGTTTCTTGTATTCATTATTTCAACCAGACAATTATACGAAAGTCCATAAACACTCTTGTTAGTGAACACACAAAAAGTCAATTTCAGGATGTGTGCATTTACAATGATCCCTTATCCACATTCTACCTCATCAGATCTACTGTACTTTCAAAGAGTGATGTGTATTGAAGACCATACATAAAAATACCAGATCATTTCAGTTCTCGTATATTCCAGGTACTTACACATTTGCTTTGCCTTCCCCAACACCTATCTCAATGCCATACTTCTCATGTCTGTAAACTTTTGTCAATACAGTATAGCCACATCCCTGTCTTCAATCAAGCTCACTTATTTTGCATTCTACTTAATGTCCCCTTACTCACCCATTCCTTCCAAATATCTACCATAGGTTACACTGATAAACTTTGGGGTCACCTGTTCTTCACTACAGTACTGCTATTACAATATATGCTCCATCATCATACTGAAAAGGGGGAGGGGAGAGGAAGACACTACAGCTAGAAGAGCTTTAAATGACAGATGTACCACAATTATTCAACACACTGAAGACCATGAGTGGGAACTGAGAGCATTAAAGAAAAGATGTGAAACTGCTTAAGATTCAAGGGTGGTTGGAGCATAATTTATGCAACTGTTAAATAATTGAACATTACTGAATGCCTATACAAATCTAACCCATGAAAACTTATGGCATGATGCAGCAGCACTATATTTTGTGAAATTTTTTTATGTCCAAGTAGAATGAGGATACTGTAGTATACAGACTTAAACCTTAGCCAGCTGGCTTTCAAAATCCATTGGTATCTTCATTTTCTACACAAGCATATGAAAGATTTCAGAAATATATCTTATGGAAAAGTAGGTTACAAAGAAGAAATCTTAAGAAGTACAAATGATGGAAAACAAAGACCATATTCCTCTTACTTACCAATAAAGAGGATTAGACTGGGACTGTTAGATGTAAAGTTGATTGCACTGCACCTAAAACTAACCTTGACCTTGTTAAGGGTGTCCCGCAGTTGCTGGACCTGGTCATGACCTTGCTGGAGCAGCTGGTCCCAGGAATTAACATGGGCAGCTTGCCTCATCAACCTCTCCTCTTGTTCTCTTAATTCTGACACCCATTTATTGACCTTTTCTTCTAAACCTGCAACACTCAATGTGGGTGCAGTTCCAACAGCTGTTGTAGCACTTGCAGCACTGCTTGTGCTGGAAAGAAATATAACAAACTTAATGCAAGCACATACAACTCTTTCCACACTATTTGGTACATAAGACAAACAAGAAAACTTGAGAGAATACTGTACATCTAAATATGTGAGGTAAATGGAACAGAAAGCAGAGAAAAGACATAAGGAGATGTGAAAGTTAGAAAAGTATTGGACAGAGAAGATCAAGGTCTGCTGAGATGGTCTGGACATACAGTACCATTCTAAGAGAACGAGAGGTGAAATATTGGTAAAAATATGTCTAATTCAAAGGTGGATGGCAGGAAGGAAAGGGAAGGCCATGAAGTTGGCGGTAGAATATAATCAAGGATACACAACAAATGAGGAGAATGCAAATCTAGAAAGCAGAATGTGCATGAATAACCAGAGAACATATACAGTGGTCCCTCGGTTAACAAACGGTTTGATTAACGAAATTTCGGTTAACGAATTACCCCCCATAAGGATCTTCAATTCGGTTAACGAAATCCTTACGAAAATCACGTTTTGTTGTGAGCATCAGCTGATGGGTTACTCTGCCAATTCAGTAATCTGTTTTATGTTTACATTCGTTTCCAGTGGAGTAAATATCAAGAAAGTTGTGCTCTTTAATATTTTTGCATTTTTTATATTAAAATTATTAGTCATTTTAATGTTTATTTAACATATTGATAATATATGCAGAACAGGGAACTAGTTTTTTGTGCGCCCATCAGCCGCTTGACTCAGCCACTAGGCGTCAGCTGGACTTTGTTGACAGTGGAGTGAACATCTATTTTGTTGGTGTCTTGAATATTTTTGCATTTTTACATTGAAATTATTGGTCATTCTGAAATTTAGTTAACATATTGATAATATATAGCACAGTGCAGTGTTCATTTAAATAAAATAATCTTGAGTTACACCTAGTGAACTTAAAATTTTAGTGATGAAATGACAGCATCAAGAATGGGTCCCCTGAAAGGTGATTTCTCCTCCATCCCCACTTCCTTCTCTTCTCCCTTCTCCTCCACCCCACTTCTAATTCCCATCATCATCATCATCAACCAGGAACCTTCTACATACATACTTTAAAGTAAGTGTACTTTACTGAATTTTCTTTTACTTTGTATGAACTTTTCGGTGAGCTGGAACCAATTACCCAATATCCCATTGAAACAATGGATTTGGTTAACGAAATTTTCGGTTAACGAACGACTCTCTGGAACGAATTGTGTTCGTTAACCGAGGGACCACTGTAGATGAATGTCTTTTTTTTCCAAGATGGATGTGCTTCTGAGGGAGGATGCCTAGTTGTGTGAAGTGCGAGAGGCAAACTAGATACAAAGGGCCTTGTTCTGGATAGAGAATACCAAAGCAGAATACATGTGTTACAGCATTAAGAATGACTGACTAATGGCAAATGATGAGAAAGTTTGCATTTGTTCTTGATTCTGGCCATCTTATGAGTTTTTTTAAGTATTGACTTTTAAAATACTATTTACTGTTTCAGCCTGGACTAAACAATTCAAATATAAAGTCCATGGGTTGAAAATCAAACCCTTAAACATTTTAGTGGTTGGGATTACAGTAAAAAGCCCAAGTACCAGACTAATTACGCCACAGTGAAGTTGTTAATCAGGCAGAATCCATTATTCAGACGTCCATATCAGCACAACTGTTCAAAACAACAGCCAGCATATAGCATTACACTAACACAGATTGGTTTATTTAAGCTCATAATAAATTAGTCCAAGTAAAATAATCATACAGGGTACTTATGACACTTTCAGTAAATTCAGTTGTTTTTTATTTAGTGTTAATAGATGTAGGTAGGGTTCACGATTATAGAAGCTTTTAGAGCCACATAGAAGATTTGTGAAGGTTACCGAGTCCTGGCGTACTTTCCAGGAGGGTTTCCTAAGGCATGAAATATGAAAGAATAATGCTGAAACCTCCTTTATTGGTGAGGTTAGAGGCCAACTGTCTCTCATAATATACAGAGTTCCTACAGGGTCCTCAAGTCCTTGGACAGGGCCCTCTAATGTCAGCCAAGGTTAGTCATAATCCATTTGGGAATGTCAATCACCCTTCAGTTCCCTGCACCAACCTTTTTCAGAATGATAGTTCTCACACTTCCCCCTTTCTCAACCTTAACCATCCACACATCTTATTCTAATGTCACTTTCTCCAATGGCCCTCTTTAGTCATTATCCTCCCCCCCCCCTCCTATCATTCTCTATTACATTCCTCATCCACTCCTCAATTATTTCCATCCTGTTCCTCAATTCCTACTTTCAGATCATCTTCTCTTCTAACGTTATGTTCCTTACTCAACCTCCTTTTCTCACACCCTATTCCTCATTCATGTTCCTCATTTTCTACCTTCTTTAAATTGACCCTCTCCTTTCATCTTCATTCTCATCCAGCCTTACAATGGTAGAACACAAAATGAAATTTAATGTCAAATCACCTGGTTGCAGTTGTGAGGGTCGCAAGTGCAGTTGTAGCAGCAACTGGCAGGGAAATGGTAGGTGCTATTGTACCACCTGCAGGTGTTGGACCTGTGGATAACATCAGTAGTTTTAAAATGGAATTGAATAAGTACCATAAACTGATCAACAATTTACAAAATAAAATTTGAGTTTTGTAAAATTTTAATGTATCTGAACAGCAAAATATCAGCAACACCAAGTTGATCGAGAATTAATAAAATGGCTCTGGGGTTATAAAAGCCTACTCTCAACAATAACAAGTTGATCAAAAACTTACAAAAAAGAATATAAAGATGACCTGGGGTTCACAAAGAAGAACTTGAATTTGCAGACTTTGGATGTAAAGGAAAGAAGTAAATCAGAATTGACAGAAATAATATGCTCGGGAACAATGAGGTGAATACCGTACAAAGAATAAAAAACAAATGTGTAAATGTTAAGAGGACAGATGGTTGACCTGGTATACTAAGATTACACACTGTCCTAGACATATCCAGCAACTGCTACAACAAATTTTCCACATTTTCATTTATTAAGCATCGTTGTGGAGATTTTTAGCAACTGCTCCAAGGCGGTGTTGGCCTCTAACCCCACAGTGCCAAGTCAAGACGTCCATTACCATCCTTTAAATACCACAACTCACCTAACAAACTTGCTGCAGTAGTGGCAAGAGTCTGTGCTGCTGGCGTTACAATTGTTGTTGATGCAGAAGAAATATTACTGAACAATCCACCAGTGGCAGGCACAGGCAGGGAAGTAGAGATAATCGGAGGAGCACCCAAAGCTTGTCCTATCAGTGGAAGTAAATTAAAGACAGTTTTTAAGTCTTCAACTGACGTAAGTAAATACAGGGTAGATCAAATTTAATAATATCAGGAAATGCCTTGAAATACTCTGGTCAAGAATCAAACCCATGACCCTTCCCTTGTGAACTGAAGAACATTACTGCACTACCATTGTACTTATAAAAATACCCAATTCACTTTATATACTGAAAGCTATTTAAACATCAAGACTTATGAGTTTCATTCCCATTCCCATTAACTCTTTCATACAAAATTCTTCAGTGAACGTTATTATCAATGACTGACACAGCCTCTGGTTGCACATGGACATACAGTAGTGAAGAAATGGATACCAATTGGCCACATTGGAACAAATAATACAACTAGAGGACAGATAAATGACAATTTATGAAAGGGTTGTGTTCCTGAAATAAACTTTCATAATTAGAATAAATAAAAAATCAAAGCATATTGTCCAAATCAACTTTGGGATATACGATCCTATGAAAAAAATTCTCCACAAAAACAAAAACAAATTTTTAAGGAAAAACAATCCTTATTACTTTCAAAACGTTCTCAATTTCTGGTTCCCTTTTCTGCACAACAAAAGTACTGTGCTCCGTTATTGATAGCCGTCCTTCCCGCATCTCCCACCAGCCGACGTCTTTCATTCCATCATTCCCCACCCATTGTGGTAAGCCCCGACTGCCTTCCCTTAAGGCAATTGCTCCCGCCATTCAGTTCGTTTTGTTTGAATTCACAGCTGAGGGATGAGGGTGGTAGTGTTTCCAAGTTAGGCTCATCATTGTACAGGTACAGGTATCTACTTTACGTGATTATCCATTTTACGGAAGCCTCCTCGTCCCAAACTATTCAGCTGACAGATACTGTACTCCAGCTTGACAACATTATTATTATTATATCAATTTTTTATATAATTATCATCACCATTTTACACACTTGTGTGGATTAGCCATGATTACCTAATAGCATGGTGTCTTTAGACAAATTTGAAGCAAGTTTTACAGCTGGATGCCCTTCCTATCACCAACTCAATTTTACAAAGTGGGAACTGGGCATTATATGTAGGACTTCCAAGCAACCTCTTGCCAAGTGAGGCAGGGTCTCTACTCCCTGATACCTTAGACTAGAGTTAAGAATACAGAATTATGCATGGCAGATTATTCTCAGAATGCAAGGTATTGGCTTTACCTAATACTGAAGTAGTGGGAGCTAGAGTGGTCGTCTGAGTCTGAGTCGGGAAAAGTGAAGACAATCCAGTGGGTGCTACAGGTGCAATGGTGGTGGTAGCTGCTCCCAGAATTGTATTGCCTGCACCAATAAAAGAAAAGTTAACGAATAAAGCAGGAATAAAGGGTTACTCCAGATATCCCCATTAACCAAATACAGGACAGGCAAGTCACGTACCGTTAAAGAGACTGGTGTGACAGCCTGAGTTCCCAAAACCCCTGACATGTACAGATAAAGTTGGAATGGGGTTACTTAACTCCCCCCACCCCCCCCTCACCTCCCCCAATGAAAATGGGCTTAACTACCAAAAGGATGATACAACTGCACCTAACTGGAGGAGGGGAAAAGCCCCAATTTATATTGCCAAACAAAATGGACATTTGTTGCATAACCCAGGTATTGTAATGACTAGAATCAAAACCAAACTATCTGTATTTTAAAATGGCAAAACTATCCAAAATTACATTTTCATGAAAAAAATTATTATAGGAGAGTAAAGCTACTGAATGGAACCCAAAAATTAACACAAAGCTAAAAATTGCCATAACATAGGGGCAAAAAAAAAAAAAAAATACAGTTGTGTATAACAAACAAAACACTGGTCAAAACTTTTTGGGGGATATTGTTGATGGATGTTATTAAATTCTATGCAGTGTATAAGTAATTTTGAATTTTAGAATTTTCATTAGAAATTCTTAACCTAATCCTACACAGCAGCACCCTAACACAGGGCTTAAGGGTTAACCCTTATGAGTACAGTACAGGAGTGTTGCCCTCATGAGACTTACCCGTTGAAGGTGTTACAGTTGGGAATGTATTAAGAGTGGGAGCTGATGTCTTAGCCACCTCAGTTGTTACTGTTCCCAATGGTTTATGTTGAAAACTAAATGGTGAAGCAGTGGATCCTCCCAGAGATAAGTTTGTAGCTGGTGCAGGAGTGGAACCAGTAAGAGAAAATCCACCAGTAACAGCCGAGGAGGTTGGTGGCGCAGTGAAATTAAAGGTGCTTCCTACTGCAGTCGGGGGAGCTGTACTGGCAACAGACCCAAGGACACTACTCGGTGCACTAATGGCTGGAGGACCAGTAAAACTAAACCCTCCGCTAGATGTTCCAAAGCCAGCAGTGTTGGTGCCAAAGCTGAACGGAGTTGTACTAGAAGTAGGCTGTGACGCAGCAGGGGGAGCAAAACTGTAGCTCGTTGTGCCAGCAGCAGTAGATGTGGTTGCAGAACCAAAGTTGAAACCACTACTGGCAGCTGCTGTTGTTGTCGTTGGAAAACTGAAGCCGCCAGTAACACCACCTATAATCAATAAGCAGTCTTATAGTTAAAAAAAAAAAAAAAATTCCAATTAACTTAGTTTTCATGACATGACTTAATCTAACTAAAGTAATCATTAAAAGCTACAAATAAGGTACACTTCAACTGTCCCCGGGCCCCCATATCACAGAGTACTTAGTAGATGTGCATTGTGCATAATACAAAACTCAAGATACATAATGAAAACCATTTGTCATCAGTCATACTCCAATACCATCACTGTTTTTCTTACTACAAGAGGTACCCATCCTCATGTGTGGTGAAAGATACACAAGTTTGGTCCAGACACTATTTTCCACGAGAATCCTATGACATTGGCCTTTGACCTTTTAACCCCAAGTCAACAGGATTTATCCTGTATACACAAGTAACACTTGTACTTACTAATTAGGTTTATATTCTTCAAACTGTTCTTGCAATATGCTACAGAACTTGGATCCCCCTGACCGTCCACTTGGCAAAAGGATACCATAATAACCCTGATGGGGTACAATTTAACTTTTATTACACTACAAACAGTTGAAGTAACAACAGTAGGAAATGTGTTTCTCTCTGTGCTGAATAAAATTGCCTGGCATTAGCCAAATAAAATCTAAAACTGGCATCCCATAGTGAAGAGTTAGTGGAAATAGTCTACTAACCCCTTGTGCATGGGGTCCTCTCTCTTTCTCAGAGCTGAAAAAATCATCTAACGTAAGCCAAGTAGAATATTAAAAGTGACGTCCCTGTAGTGAAGGGGTTAAGAGTACAGTATCACACATCTTCGGGGAGAAAGAACGTAAACAAGGAGGACATAGTAGTGTACAATGAAGCTATCACATACAGGATGATTTTTCTTACTTAATAACCCGAACCCTTACACTAAAAACTAATGTATTGTAATGTAGCCTAATGTTACAGAAAGATGTGACACGATGCTGAGAGTTATCAAGTATCATTGACAAACATGTGACCTGTCAGTGGCGTTTAATGGTTTTCACTGTCACGCCGTGGTGCCATGTTGTGTTGTGAGCGCCATGGGTTGACCGAGTAAAAACTGTTAAACACCACTAACGGACAATGCACACACAATAAACCACCAAGAATTAAGACCCAAATGAAAAGTTTAGTTTCAATTGCACGGAAAGATGAGCATTAAACTGACAAATTTATTAGATCATACAATACCAACTCCAATACTATGCTGTACATAAGTAAAATCCATTATTAATCAAATTCAAATACATACAGTATCACAGTCTTGGTACTGTGCCACTTACTTCCTGTAAAGTTGAAAGACATCCTGTGTGATGAAGCTCCCAAACTGTAGCAAGAAAAAATGTGTATTAAAATTTTGTCCAATATTATATTATAATGTGAACATAAAAAATTCAAGAAGAAAGGTCAGACACACAAGGTCACTGATTGCTCAAAATGTAATCCCACCTGTGAACTTACCTACTAAAATACAGTACTGTACTGTATAGTATACTGTATTTTACAGTTACAGCATTCCCAAAAATTTAATGAAAATTCATTTTTAAAGACAGGATTCATTATGCTTACAAAATGTACATCTATAGACAAACATCCAGGCATCTGAAACATTTTCATCAGTCTCCATATTTCATGTCAAGATACAGTACAGTATAGTAAATATTGCAAAAATAAAGATGTTGTAAAGTTAGCAGCCACTTGTTCAGTACAAGCCCAATTCTGTATTGATACAGTAGACTATTCATATGGCAGAGCTTACAAACAGTACTAAAACTCTTGGCAGTAGTTACTGATATGGGCCCACTGCCTAAAGGTGATGGCCACTTTCATATGGTTCTGTGCACTCTTAAGCAAATACCTACCGTACGATACATTACATTAAATCTGAGTCTGTTTATCTTCTTGACCATTATGGACTTTGAATCTTGGAAATGAGTTTTGACAGTACAGTATAAGTGGCAAAAATTATACAAAAAATAACTAAATAAATAAAAAAACATTCTTACACATACCAATCTCAAACAAACAACCCTAAACTTTCATAACTTGGGAAAAAGGTTAAGAATCGGTTTTGAGTTTGTGTTCTTTTTTGTATTGGTAAAATTATCGGTTCGGTCATTCACCTATTTGGAAGTAGGTCAGAATCGTTCAAAACACATTAAAAAAAAAACATTGGAAAAACATAATTTCACCCTAACCTAACCTCTCTCTCGGACGGTGATAACTTAAAATCCAAAAATTCGCTGGACTGAAACAAAAATAATACCTTTGCATTTTGCCCCAGAGTTTCCTTCTACTTCAAAACCCAGTAAATTCTCTAGGACTTTAAAAATTAAGTAACTACATTATTATTCATTTGCTACAAAAGTCCGTACTGTAAAATGAAAGTTACTCAAAATGAGATACGTATATCTATGGCATGTGTTAAAAATCCCAGATTCCATGGCTGTACAAAACTGAATACCAGTATTTTAGGTTAGGTTAGGTTAGGTTAGGTTAAGTTAAATGAATCATAACTATAAAATAAGCAATACTACACACCTAGCACTTGATGAACGTTAACAGTTACCAACGGATGCAAATAAAATCACCAGAAATATTGGTGCAATTTCATGTTACTTCTATTACAGATGTTACTTCTATTACAGTGTTCACCACCTTTACCCTTCTTTGTTCTTCACCTAATGCTGTTCTATGTTATTTCTTACTAGTTTCATATATACAGTATACTACATATTGGTACAGGTAAACACTATGACGCCAGTAACACAAGCGGTTTCCTTAATTACCACAAACTTACAAACATACAACACTATAACTATTTATCAGAGTTAATGGTTGGTTCATAAGGTAAATGTTAATCTCAATAAGGAGAAGATATATCACTAAACTATGATAAACATGAAGGAAATAACATGAACAACACTCACCTCGCCTGACGTCTCAACCTTTAAACCAACAACACACAATGTTATAACCAGGTTACACATTAAGGAAAATTATTCCAATATAGTTTCTATATTTCAGAAGATAAGTAATATAACAAAATTTAATTAAAAATATTATATAAATTCAAACTGTACATAAAAATAAATATATAAAGATTATAATATAGCTAATTTTTAATAACTCCTTTTAATGTCTCCACTATGTAGCCCCCTTGTGGGAGGTAAGCGAGGGACCCGCGGTGTTTGAACCTTCTCTCTTGCCGGAATATTAAACAGATGACATAATCACTCACCAGGTCTCAATAATAAGTGTTCCTCGCACCAGGGCTATTTTGACGCAAAATATGTCAGTATAAGGTACAGAATGTGGGAAGATTTCCTTTAAATCAAACTGTGTTGCCCCCTCCCCCCCCAATAAAAAATAATAAAAATCAGCTAATAATTATAAAAAGTACAAGTAAAAACGTTAACAAGAGTTCACAACTCTTGTGTTGATTACGTGATGCATTTTATGATACACATCTTAAATCAATGGCGCCACATAATTACTCTTATTACAGTTAGTGTCTTTGGGATCTAATTCTTAATTCCTTCTCTTTAGTGACATTCTCGTGCTTACATGAACAGTACCTGTACTTTCTAATGCCTCCAAAATTCTAACTAAAATTGCCTTGCATTAGCCAAATAAAATATTCTAAATAGTAATTTTCGGATCCTTGTGGTGAAAAATACAAATAAACTATTCAAACTTTATCATACACATACCTAGATGGTCCATCCCTCCTAAAGCTCTTCAATAATGTGGTGCTTGGAGTATACAGTACTGATATCCCATCTGGTCACAGAGGTATCCTAAAGACTGCTAGTGCCAGTTGATTGAAAACGTTTCCATGAGAGGGCCACCAAACTGGTGCCTACACTCAGGCACCTCATGTACAGTACCAAGACAGATTGTAATGCCTCCAATTGTCTGGTTAATATAGGGGTGATTTAATGGAAGTTTATAAAGACATCATAGGGCATACAGGCATGGAAGCCTTACCTCCAGAAAGACTTAACATTCCTAAAATAACGGATGCAACACCAACCACCCAAGCAGTTAACAAGCCGATCAGGGGCAAAGCGAAATTAAGTGAAGTAAATTACAGTACTTTATAACATCAACATGCAGGGTGAAAAAAGAACCCTCAGGCTCATATAGTCAGAGTAAAATATAATTTTGTCAGGTTTGTGGTCACAAATATATTGATCTATAGCAGTATCATGAGTCACCTCAACCCCACATAAAGATCACAATAGAAATAATACAGTATCTTAATACCCTTCTTGGAGCTGCTGCAAAGGTCAAGGCAAATTATCCCATAGCTAAATATTTCCATTGTACAGCTCGCGGCTAATGAACCGATCAGTGGTGATGAGGATAAAAGGAAAGTAAAAAGTAAAAGGAAATAAGCTGCTTGTGTTAAGTACAGTACATTACCTGCAAGATAGTATGAGCACAATGAATGCCTTGGGAGTACTGTACATGCAAAAATTTTCAGCTTCTCACCAAAATACCAAAGCCTCCTTGGAGAAACTGCTTGAAGTAATTGCTGGACATCTATATCATGAGGAAGATAAGCACAACTAACACTACTGAAGGCTTCCAGGACCTAACAGAACTACTCTTGGACACCTTGTATTTTCTAGGGAGGAATTATGACTGCTTCCATTTGTGCCACCAGGGATTGTAAAACCTTACAATCTTCCCCATCTTATGCATTACCCTACTCATACAGTATGAGTGCCTAAGAAAAGCCTCTAAATGTAATTAATAGCTAAGCTGTGGCTTTTGTCTCTTTAGTTACATAATGGGTAAAAAAAGATTTTTTTATATTTTTTATATTCTATTAATACATCCTTGTAGGCTTCAATTAAGCCTAGTATCACAAACACTGGTCATTAACAGCTGAGCTACAGCCCAAAACAAGGAAACAAACTTGAGTGTCCATAGGATCACTTAACACAAACAAAAGAACATTTGAGTGTCTTATAGGGGAATTCATCAACTTATTTGTACTTCCTCCCAGGCTTCAACAATGCTTCAAACTCAAGACTGACATTAATGTCCCAGTTCTTGGATCACACCACAAATACTGTACAGTATATTAAAAATTCTTCCATCCCAAATGTTGCAGTAATACAGCTATTCCTCAATGTACAAAGGGGATATATTATGTAAAAAAATAAAAATAAAAATAAAAACACAAATTTTGTAAATTGGAAAGAATTTTCTCATCAATTTAAAGAGAAAAATTAGGGATGCATTGTGGGCAGTCTTCCCAACCCTTCTAACCTAAAGACAATTACCTGTACTGTAACTCCCATTTAACAAAATATAGTAATACAGGGTAATAAAGATAAAAATTTCTGTACAAATAAAAATAATTCATGTGCTGGGGGTAAAATATTACTGTGAACCTTACATCGTTTCCAGTGCTGCTATACGCTGTGTTTAAGACATACAAAATACTAAGATTACATTACTGTATGAATAGTGATCAGTATACGTAGCTTTATATTTAAATTGCCCAAAATCTTAAAATCTTGTGGGTTTGTAATGATAATACATTGAGTATGGGAAGGGGCCTCCTGGCTAATAAATTAACACATGAAATTATCCTAACATTCAAATTACCTCACAATAAAGAGACGAGACATGAAGAGCAATTGAAGTTTAGTCGTTTTAAAATACTGTACCAATAAGTAAATTAAATATATATACCAGTATATAATATATATATAAATATATATATATAAATATATATATATATATATATATATATATATATATATATATATATATATATATATATATATATATATATATATATATATATATATATATATATATATATATACACAAAAGGGGTCCTCGACTTATGAACAGCCGCCGATACGAATGAGGTTAAACTTGAAATTTATAGTTTTTTATTTACCTGATGACTTATTTTTTTACTTTCATTTACTGTATTTTGTCATTCTATTCCTCTTTTGTCTTAAATTAAGCGATTTTAGATGTGTATAAGGACTAAGGCTATGATATACTGTAGTGGGATTTTAAACATTGTTTTGTAAGTACAGTATGCACATAGCATGTGTTTCGACTTAAGAGCGTCCTCAGGAAAGGAACCTGTTCATAACCCCGGGACCCCCTGTATACTGTACACACACACACATACAGTATATATATATACAGTGTACAGTATATATACTGTAAATGGTTTCCAAGTTAAGAAATTAATGTATTAACACCAAACTTCTACATAAATGATATGGTTCAGAGTTAAACAATTTAGTGAGCATAATTTGAACCAATTTCAAATTGCATACATCAAAAAGGTAAAAAAATTGGTATGAAAAAAAAAAATGTTACATAGCATGTTGTAAAATACAACAGCACATATTTTATGCACAAAATATAGCTCCTCCCACACTCAAACCATCCTCTGGGCGGAGCCACACAGTTCAGCTGGGAAATTATGCTGGTGACTCAGAGACTTGTGTGTGTGTGTGCATGCCAAGATGTTACATTGAGGGGGGCGCTGTGGCAACTCAATGATTCATTTCACACATCAATGCTCTCCATTTTTCTCATTTTATAGCTTTATATTATATTTTCTTTATTTATAATCCACATTTGAGCTTCACCAAGTGTTCATTTTATCAAGAAACAGCAAGAGTATAATCTCAGTGGTGATTTTAGTCATTATTAAATGATATGAGCTTGGTGAAGGAACATCAGTTGATGAATGACTGTGAAAAGGAGAATAAGATGAACACGCTTTTCAACAAATTATTCATCAGACAGTTTATGTATAATAAACCTCTGTTAACTAAGTGGCTACAATCCATGATTTCACTTTGTTGAAAGAAACTTTGTTACCAGAGGTAGATATAACACAGGAGGCATAAGGATGTGTTCCAATGAAGCAATAGAACTCAAGATGTCGTGAATTGTGCATGGTAACTAGCATAGAGTTTGCCCACCCATCCTGCCAACTATTAAAGACAAAGGAATCTATGTTTTCATTAGGTAATAGATTGTCTTTGTTTGAGATTAAACCTTTAAAAAACAAGTGTAATGAAACATATTAAAATATTTAGTGTTTCTCCAACAAATTAAACACTCAAACCTATTTAATGGTCTTCTTACACTAATGGTCACAGCCTCACATTAAAAAAGCCATAAGTACAGAAAATTATCAGAGCTAACTACTTTGGAGTGAGAGAATATTGTGATAGCACCAAGTGTGAGCTCCTTTAAGACCACACCTGACCAACACTGACACGTGTTATAGTACGTTGTAGATCATTCCAAAACATTCCTCACAAAATACTTTTTACCCTGAATTGCCTCTAATATTGACTATGTGAAATAAGAGCACAGAAACTTAAAACAGTGAACAATTACACAACAGGTTTATAAATGAAGACTCATGAAGCTCTTCACTGATTTGTTGATGATACATTACAAACAAACCTCCACTCAGGAAGGTTCACAATGTACATGAAAATTTAGATATTTTGAATTGCATTACATTTTTTCCAAGTTTTAATTATTTGATTATTTACTGCAGACTTCATTATAAAGAGGCTTCCTTCTCAAAAGATTTGTTAACTTTTGTACAGTACTACTGTAATTATTTTATATACTGTTACAGTTATTAGTTATTACATACATGTAATTACTGTTTTAATATCACAAGACTGGTAAAATTGGGTGTAGATAGTGGGGAGGGGGCATTGTGGGGGTGGCTGTTAGTTGACAAATGGCCCTGAGATGGTGATTATGCATGCACAGTAATGATTCTTTAATCCCAATAATATGTTTACAATTTATTAATATATTTCGGTTGTGTTTCATGAAATATTAAAGGTTCTCTAAAAAATATAAATGTTTTAAACATTTTAAAATACACTTACAAAAGATCACATTGTGCATACTCAGCTAGAAGCCTCTAGCATTTAGATGATTGTCCCAAGGTTGTGTATATGAATGTATGTAATAATTCTTTAAAAATTGCTCCATTTTGTGCATAATGAGTAAAAAAAATCCTGCCAGTGCTCTGCCAACCACACCCTGTACAGTATAAAGAAATAACAAGTGTGTTACTATATAACATGAGTATTAACAACTGACAGTGTTCTGTACACACTTCTTAATAAATCATTCATTACCACAAGTTATATAGTTATTCTATGCATTCTTACAGTTATTACTGTAGATGCATAAGGTTTTAATACAATATCATAAGCTGGTTAAAGTGGGTAGATATGGATGTGTTCTCTAGTTGGTGGTGGGTGGGCAGTTGACAGACAGCTATGGGATAGAGATCTCTTGCACACACCTTTTTATTTTTTATTGTATTTATTATATATATATATATATGTGGGAAGTTCATGTTACTTTTATAAATTTTAAGTGTTTCTTTAAAAAAAAAAAATCTTCTGTGAGGAATGGCTACAAAACTGTATGGTTAAAACAATATTTAATTGTGAATAAGAAATTAGTGAGAGTTCAGTGTAGTTTTTATAACATAGTGATACGTTAATTTTTCAATCAAATGTTCTGAATGATAAAATTGGTGTGTATACCCCACATAATCTTTGGTATGGCGGCAGCTATATGCTTCATACCTGCCCAGGGTTTCATAAATGTAAAATTTGCTTGTGTATACAGAAAGATGGTCCGTACTTTGTCTATCTTGTTAATGAGAAATTTTTTATAGTGAACGTTAAAAAATAGAGGAATAGCTGTACTGTACATGTATTACCACATCCATTATTAAACAACCACACAACATTATTTCACACCGCTCACTCATCCCACATGTAAACAAGCACCAATTACAATATTAAAAAAATGCAAAATTTTCCTTTTGTTTCTTCAAATGAATTACTAAGGTTTATTCCTTACACATGAAACAAACTTTGCACATTAAACAAATTGATTATCTAAACGACTTACCTCTGCGGTCTCGAGAAACGCCCATTTATAAATTTTAATATCTGATCCACAACTGGCATGTTTCATATTTATTTATCTCTCTCTCATCTATTACTACATGGATGAGGGTGAATCAAGAAAGAGGAAATAAGAGAAAAGAAAACAAGAGGTGCAGAAAGCATCAGGAAAGGGCTGAAGCAAAAAGGTGGAGACACTTCACACACTCACGTGCACACACACACACACTTACTTGCTTAAGGCTGTCCGTCGTAGCTGACAACGACTCTGCTTCATTATGAAATTGATGATGATGATGAGTGGTGAACTAGGAATGTTGTCGGTGGTGCCACTGGAGTCCGATACTTGACCCACAGACTCTATTGCACATTGAGAACGACAACTCTGGGTTGGGTGGGAGGTCTCTGGGAGGGCGATTGTGTCTCCTTTCCCTATGTGCACATCTGACCCTATTACACCCATTCTCAAGATGTTTGACACCTTGAGTACAGGTGGAGTGCTATAGACTATGATCGGATGCAATTGTTTGCATTGTCCTCCAGGGTTGCAGTTTGCCTCGGGCAGCTGCCCGTAGAGGATCTGGTGGGAGAGTCGGTGCTCTGGCATGCGAATGACGTGTTCCGCCCATTGCATGTGTCACTTCGCCAGAAATGCCTTTATGCTAGTTGTGTTGGCACGCAGGAGGATGTCTGTATGAAGGACTCTGTCCTGCCAGGTCAGACCAAGAATATGCTGCAAACAACGGATATAGAAGGCCTCGAGAGATCTGATGTGTCTTTGCGGTGAGGCTCCCTGAAGAGGGCTGCTCAGTTGCGTAGGAAGCTGCCGAAGCAGGAACCGTTCCTTGTCCCATCTAGCCATTGACCATCACTCTCATGCCGCCTACATGCAGGACTCGGGCTAGTGACTTATGGCCACATCCTCAGCCTGTTCCCATCACCCTATCCCACCGCCACATGACTATAAAATTGTGTTGATGATGATGGAGATGAAATAATGAAACATTTGGCTTGCGCGGTGAAGGGATTATCGTGACGGTGGGGGTGAGCTGATCCCACCACCACCAGCTTGGTCCTGATCACCAAGTTCCTGTGGCAAGAGTGGACTCAAGACAACCCTCAGGTTACCAAGATTGCAAGGGACTGCCAGAGCTCCAGTCCACCTGATGCAGGTCACCCAACACCACACTTCCTCATATCCTCAACTTCCATACCCATATTTTCTTAACTTTCAATACTTAAATGAGAACATGTTCTCAATCACCCTTATGGAGAAATGGAAAAAAAAAATTTGTGTCTCTTATTACATTCCAAATTGAATGTGCACACGTAAAACATACATTTTATTAACAACTAGCCATTTTGTACAAAGGATCCACTTATCAAAAATACAAAAATACGTGTAGTGTTAAAAATTTCGGTACCTGTACAATGTTACCAATGTCATTATGAAATGATCTGGACACAATTTCAATTTAGGGTAATTAGTAAAAATATTGTCACATTTACCCTTTAACACAATGATCTATCATATTCTTTCCCTGAATCTGATTTACAAAAGAAATTTGTGGTAACTTGTCTGAATTCATTGCATTTGTTTAACACCATTACAATGTAAAACAAGAAATTAAGTGTGCCCAAATTTTCCCATGGACATAAGTTTTTCAATTAGGGCGACTTAAAACATGATACTGTAATATAACATTGACAGGATATCCTGAATGATACCAGATAGGCATACATGTAATTATGAGCTCCTTCATTATACTGTACAGGTATGTTTAAATTCTCTCAAAAAATTTGTAATACAATATACAGTACATGTACTGTATATTCAGCAATAAGAATACAATAGGTTTTACCCCCCAGCAGTAGAGAGGGAGGAATTCTATAATGAGCTACATTCATCTGAGTTTAAATATGAAGGAGGATTAAAAAAAAATTGATCCTGGTATCAGTTTAAATACTAGAAAAAAAAATGTATGGAGAATATTATCACCTCCAAAAAAATATTTTAGCAGACCAATCAGTGGCAAAGAAGATAAAATATATACTGTATTGTATTGTAAATAATATAGTTTCCTTGGTACAGAAATATTAAAAAAAAAATGAAATGGACAAATGTGGTTTTAGGTTTTGATAAATTTTCTGGAACCTCTAGAGGCTGACACTTCATTATATAATGTACTGACTCTATGGGAAATGCTTACGCAGGCCAAAATATTTATATTACATGAGCAATAAATGGAAGTGATCACTTCTCAAAACATACCTTTTACTCATAATCTCTAAATCATATTAATTTCAAATACTAAAAACCATTAAATTTATTCAACACTGAGCATCCACCAGTGAGGAACACTAACCATTCTTGATCAACTACCACTCATCAGGTACAGAAAACACACCATCAGTTACCAATCTCTTGCCTGAAATCAGAAAGAAAAAAATCAGTAAAACTGATTATGAAATATTCATTACATTATTAATACAGTAACTACATTCTTACATACAGTATATCAAAACTGCTTTTACTGTCTTAACTGACTTTTAAAAAGCTTACAGTCTTAAATGTTTTAATATATGCAAGAGTGTAAATATTTAATGTTTTTTATTAACTCTTAAAAATATATTACAAACAGTGAAGGAAATCGTTGATTTTAATGTTATTACTTTTGAAAATTATTGTAATGTGATGAAGGATGAGGCACAATGCAAAATTTCCTGAGTAGGGTACAGCTAATTAATGTTGAGAAAACACTGTTAACTCATTTATGCCAATTACTCTCCTCTCTGCACCTTTTGACCCCAAGTATAAAAGTTGCTCTCTTGCAGCATGACACTTTATAAGAGCTGTATCTGTCCAATCAGCATACTTAGCAATAAGGCTGCTGTCAATAATTTTATATTTCTAGATCAATCCACCATTTTGAGGTTCAGTTCTAATTGACTGGTTCACAAACTCAAGGACGTCATCCAAGTTACCTTGCTCCAAACTCAACGAGAAACTAGGATTTCACCAATAAGCCATTTCTAGCATCTGGCTTTAAGCATGGTGCCCCTTGTAATCCAAAGTCAGCTAGACAAGAAGAGGTGGTGCTACAAAAGCTATAAGGATTAGAGACATGCATCCTGAGGAAAGTTTTTTTGGACATATACTGTATAAAGGTCAAGAGGGGTACTACAGATTCCATAAATTATATTTTCAACCCAGTTTTGAAGCATTATCCTGGAGTCTTTGAGAAGGAAGCAATCAGTATCAGAGCCCCAATAATTATAGAACATTGTGTCCTCATGGAAGCAAGTTAACACAAGAAACTTTAGTTAGCATGACCTGACTCCACAAGAAAATTAAACAATACATATTTAAAACCTAGGAAAAATAAGTGACCATAGAAAATCCATAAGAGAAAGTTAAAAAGCTAAGGATGATAACAGACTACTGAATCTATGCCTACTTCTAACAGAGACAAGGTAAAAGGGATCAAAAGTAGCTTAGGCAAAACTTTTCCATGAGAAAAAAATAAATTTCTACAAGGTCAAAAAGGAGCTACCGCTACCATAATCCTGGCAAACAGGTGAACCTCCCTCCCTTCTGACCTGCAGTGCTTGGGAAAAGAGAAAATATATAACTACAGTACTCCCAACAGTCCTCCGTTATAGATACGGCATCCACTCCAAAGGTACCCTTCTGAAGTACAGATAAAACTCACATACACCATGAGTTTGCAATTCATACACTACAAACAAATCCATCAAAGTTAACTCCCAAAGAATTAATCCCATAATTGAATCTCTCAAACATAACCTAACATTTCAAACCTATAAAAGTTGTCATTCTAACTATCAGTGTTTCAGTAAGAGTTTATCATTGACAGATCATTAATAGTTAATTGCAGCATAAAACCCAGCTCTGGGAATTTTCCCCAATCAAAATGACAGACACAATCCCTGGCATACAGAAAACCAAAGAAATGCTGTCCATAATAATACTATAAGATAAACCTACCACAGAAACATTATCTTTTGTACTGGAGGAAAAGAAGAGGAACCAAAAGTTTTCTCAGGTTAAAATTGGAGGCTTTGGGTTGCAGGAACCACTTCCCCTTCATTTAATTCCCTTGGTGGAATGAAATTCGTAACCAAGACCAGACTCCTCCCTACTCCTAGCTCACAGTAAGGTGTTCAAAAATACTGAAGAGGGAAAAGATGGAAGAGAGGATGTTGGCTAGTAATTTTAAACGTACAGGCCCTAACCTAATTTTTCACAATTGGAGGTTTGATCCTGAAATTCCATTTTACATTTAATTCACTAACCAGGCTTACTGGTTAGATATGAATGGAATCCTCAACATTGATGCCTGGGAACTAATCTGGAGATTAGTTTACCTCCCTGTGAATAAATTCTGTCAGTGGGACGACTTACCTAGTAAGAACCATAATTTTCTTTCACCATAAAGTGAATAAATCATCTTATACTTACTCAATATGGAAATACACTATTTTCTAGATTTAGAAAAGTTCAAACCCTTGGGAGCATAGGCAGAACAAAATACTGTATCTACATTAAGTGTGGCACTGTCCTCTAAAGGGTAAACTACAGTTCTTTGACATTACCATTATCTCCACTGACTATAGGAGGAGCTTCTTCAGCACTGGGAGATTCTAAAGTCATCTTTGAGAGTTGATCTGATCTGTTGTGGTCAAGGGATACAATGTTAATGAACACAATTTCTAAGATTCTTTCTGGATGATTGCAAAATAAGTAGTACTAGGCTAGGTTAAGTAGTAAAGGGGCATTTCTTCCTTAAAGTATTAATACAGTAATACTGTCACCATAGGCATTAATTCACATGTACTGTACTACATACCCATATATAAATATGTACCTGTATTTATTATTCATAAATACAAGTCCACTGTTCATATTCCAAGATCATTCAGCTCACAATATCTAAAGAGACACCTCTACACCTGAATAATTCAAGAATACTGTACAGTGCAGCCATCTCTTTCTCAGTCTAACTCTCACATTAAGGCCAACAGTTATATATTTATATATATACTATATATATATATATATATATATATATATATATATATATATATATATATATATATATATATATATATATATATATATATATATATATATTATATAATCAGCATATATATATATATATATATATATATATATATATATATATATATATATATATATATATATATATATATATATATATATATATATATATATATATATATATATTCATGGATCAGAAACGTGGATAAGATAAATCTTGATAAAATCACAGGGAATAAAGAAGCTAAGATGCTCCGTTGTTTCCTTTTCCGCTGATTTTATCAATATATATATATATATATATATATATATATATATATATATATATATATATATATATATATATATATATATATATATATATATATATATATATATATATATATATATATATATATATGCCCCTTTTTCTTGATTTTAATAATTTTTTGTTGGCTTTTATTACTGTACTTACATATGGCTTTAATGATTTATAAATAGTAGATTTACAAAAGGCATATAGCATTGACACCCAACCCCCCCAAAAAATAAATACAAATAAATAAATAAACAATGGCTTTTGCCGACCCTGGTTTTTCAAGTTCACTTTTTAGTGTTTATGTGTTATTATGGATGTACTTTGTTAGACACATTAAATTTTAATTCTGAGATGAAAAGTGTTTTTGGCCATAATCATGATCTCACCAATTTTGTTCAAAATTTCAATAAACTGTACTGTATGTACTCTTGAACATGCTGATTAAAGATCTGTTGTCCCCAGTTTGTTATCTGTATAATAATCTTAAATGTTTCTTTGAGGTTCTGCAGAACTATCTTTCATGGTTACCAACAATGTTCCTATCTTCTTTGTATGTAGGATCTGTTTTATCATATATATTTCCCATTTATGGATAACCTGGTTCTACTAGATATAATATTTATTGTTAGATTATTAATAACATAACAAATGAATAAGCCTTTGATCTACTAGACAGTAAACCCAAACTACAAAACCTTACAGCATGTGTTAACAAAGTTATTATTAATAGTGTCAGTACTAGCAATGGAAAAAATATTTAAAGCTACACATCTATAAAAATATTACAGGGACAAGAATCATAGCAATATAATTTCAAAGGGATTCTAAATAAAAGTCTGGTATGGCTATCATAAAACAGACCAATATAATGTGACTGTAATCTCAAAATTTTTAATTAGAGAAATACCCACCCAATACTTTTCAGTCTCTTGAACTCTTGTACACGACTTGCACAGGTCTCTACTCCCGGGGGAACTTCATCAGATACAGACTTTCTTTTTGAGCTTCCTGTGTCCCCATACAACCTTATACGCACCAGTGGAGGACAGTTGGCATGAAGAGTCTAAAAACAAAGCCATAAAATTTGGTATTATTTCCTTCATAAAGAAAACTTTTATTTTTCTAATATTGCACAAGGTTTAAGACACTGAATACTGCATTGGTCTCTTACCTACATGAATAAGTAATCCCAATGGATACAATAGGACAGGTATTCCCTAGTTTATGAAAGGGTTTTGTTCCTGAAAAGCTTTTTGTAAGCCAAATTTTCACAAATCAAATCACAACTATCAATAAACTCCATTTATAATAGCAGAGATACTTTCCTTGGCAAGAAGCTTTAGTTCCAAGGAAGGACATAAAGTTATGAAGTATTGAGAAGATAAGAGAAACAGTATTTTGCCACAATCAAAGCTGTCTTTAACCACAGAAAACCATACAGTACACACAAACAAGTATCCTTCGTTTAGCACTTAACGACAGGTCAAAATTCAGTTTAGCGATAAAGTGTGACTCACTGGGAGGAGGAAGGGATGAGGTGGCCTGTGAGATGGCATGTTGACACTGTAATATGTAATGAAATTATAAAAGGTGTGAAATAATCATTACAATACCTGTACTCCAATGGGGTTTGGAACTAAAGAAAATATAATATAAAACTAAAAAATAAGAAAAATTAAGAACTTGGGTGTTTATGTGTGAGAAGTGAACGTATGTGTGGAGGCAGTGGGGTGTAACTGCATCGCTTACTCCCTAGCCCGGCCGGCACTGCGTTCCCTCCCCCAATATGACGTCATGGGATACAGACTGTGCAGCAGACACACACACATCTCTGAGTCAGCTGGGTGACTGCCCCGCTGAACTGTGTAGCATAGCCCAGAGGATGGTTTGAGTGTGGAGGGAACTATTTTTTGTAAATAAAATATGTGCTATTGTATATTATGATTCGCTATAAATTTTATTGTTTATCACAGCAATTTTCTTTTTATTGTTGATGTATGCAATTTGAAGTTTGCTTTAATTAGGCTTACTTTGTGGTGACTAAATCTAAACAACATTGTCTATTTAGAAGCTTAGTGTTCATAAATGAATCATTTAACTACAAGCCATTTATAAACACTTGTTTATTATGATTATTAGGGAGCATAGTACAGTACAGTACTTACTCAGTGTTTACCACTTTACTGTATTTTTTTTTTTTTTTACAGGGATTAGCCCACCCGGGCACAGGTAACTGACCCACATCCGGGCCTGGGGGTGAAAATGTAATAATAATAATAATAATAATAATAATAATAATAATAATAATTAGTTCATAGTAAATAAAATTTATAATAAATAAAAAATAAAATAATAATAACAACAACACTAATACTACTACTACTAATAATAATAATAATAATAAAGAACCATAAAGAAATACAAAAATGAAAAAAAGATCAATAGTGAGCAACGATATATGAATGTTGTGTTGTCAACAATAAGAGAAACAATTGAGACCTGCAAATGTGTGTAAATGAGGCAGAAAGTCAGATCAGCAACCTGGGACTTGGTCACAATTTTCGTGATGCCATATGGCAGCAGGGTCTACCATTAGACAACACATTATGCTTCCAATATCTTCCCAGGCGGTAGTACCTCCCTGTTTGATAGCTGCCTACTTCACTGCTGTTTACCCTCCAAACTGTGCTGTTATCCCTTGTTTAGCAATACCTGTACTTAAGCTTAATGTTAGGTTTTCAGGAACACAACCCCATTGTTAAACGAGGGATACCTGTACACACAATCTTTGAATTAGGATGACAAAAAATGCATTTTCATATCCTTATCTCAGCATACTGTCAATAGTCTGGTAAGCTGAGATAAAAGTTCACAGACCACTTGTAATCCTAAACAATATCTTAATTAGTAGTCCTTATTGTCATCCTAGTGAATTGATGGCCATCCCATGGGTCATGACTAAAATCCTTGCCCAGTCAAAATAAGGTTTAAAGCTTCAATTCATCTCTTCTGAGACTTTCATGAAAAAACTTACCTTGAGATGTTGTTTACAGGCCTTGTTGTCTATATCATCCAGGGGAATGACATACAGGAAAGTGCTGTTCACCCATACTAGTTTCATAGGTTCTGCAAAGGCCTCAAAAGTTTATTGAATGAAATGCATGGTATGCTTTTGAATGCTACAGTATTTACATTCAATAATATCTTGAAAAAACAAAAGACATTTGATAATGAGTAATGTTCGCATATAAAGGATGACAAAGATTTGGTGAGGCATAGATAAGGATAGAGAAGAGGAGGAGGTAGATAAGGTGAGGAGTTAATGAAGGATACAGAAGAAGAGGAGGAGGAGGAAGATAGAACAGAGGAGCAGGCAGACAAGACAACGAGTACTGAATAAGTGGAGGATACAAAAGAGGAGTAAGATAAGGTTAAGGTCAGTGACAGAAAGAGGACATAAAAATATACAGTACAATACAACCTTACCAGTAACCAAACTTATTAATACCTTTAACTGAAATCCTGTATCTGTCCCACCCTTTATGGTAGAAAAATGTATTGACTACTTGGGAAGCAAATGAACCCCATCAAATACAACCTCTTACTTACTGATCATGTGAAAGAGTGAATGGACATGTACTGCAGTCCAAGAGGAAGGACATTCCACACAAAATATTCTGCTCCTGTTAACCTGGACTGAAGAAAAAGACATACGTATTAACTATTATCAAACACGATAGGCACTAAAATGTCTATATTTTTTACTGAGGTTATTTTGCAATATCTTGGGGCAGTCATTTCTAAGAACAAATCCAAATCTTGAATCTTAATTAATATAGCCATGAAGAAACATATCGAGAACCACAATTTGTTGACCCTGTCAGTGGAATGTACAGTACAGTATTCTAAAAATAATACCACATACCATCAGCTCCAACCAGGTTTAGGAATGGAATGTCATATGAGTTCATGTTGTTCACTCTGAAGAGATAAATATTTATAAACTACAGTATTTAACTACATACATTGATTAAATTATACATGTAAACCCACTAAAATATTATTCGGCACCCTTACGGCATGATACAATATGACAAGGGTGCAAATAATTTTTTTAGTGGGCGTACATGTATGTATCGTGCATGTATACATGTGTGTGTGTGTGTGTGTGTGTGTGTGTGTGTGTGTGTGTACAAGTATCATGTACACCCACAAAAAAATTATTCGGCACCCTTACGGAGTGAATAATTTTTTAGTGGGTGTATAATTAAAGACAAAAGTCGTGTCGCGGTTTTGTTAGATTAAATATAACTCGTGAAACATTATGAGAGCCCCTTACCACAAGGCAGAGCGCACCAAAAGTTTAGCCCTTCGGAACATGTTTTCACCAAATTTCACGACATAACTTTTGTTTTTCATTGCACATACTCAAAAGTATAATATATGGGACCACTATAGTTATTACTTTTGCTCATTAGCATTTCAGTCCACTATTAAAAGAATCATTTGGTACTTAAGAGTGAAGTGCTCAGTGAAATACCAGTCAACAGTACTGAGGAAGACACTCCTACTATCACCTAAATTTTCATGGCTCAAGAAACTACCACAAAAGCTTGTAACATTAAGGTTTGGTTTGGTTACTGTGTATGTGAAGCTGTTCTCTCACTTGTACTCAGATAAACATATATAAAAATAAAGGAAATATTCCTTAAGGAGTGAAAACAAAAGGAAAAGTAGCAGCTGATACATCTAGTAAGGTTGTATCTCCAATGTACATACCAGTGCCTAACTGTACTGTTCAGTATATGAAATATATTTCAACAATTATTGTGTAACAGTATATACACTGTACATTAATGAAAAAGGAAAATGTTGAGATGGCAAGGAAGTAACATTAAATATATAGATGCAAATACAAAAGAATCTAGACGTATACAAATGATAAGTTCTTCTTACCTATTGGCATAAGGAGCAAGATGTTTTGACTTTATCACTGATTTATTCTTCCAATGTATACCATCTGTTGGAAGAAAACAAAAGAGCAGTGAAGTAAAACACTTGAAGGATGAGACTTCTCATGCAAGTTCTATTTCATAACAATTACAGAAACTCTTAATATAATAATATAAAAAAAGCTTGTTGGATATATTTCTTAAATACAGTATACTCAGAAGTGCTTCTACTAGAAACAACTTCAGTTAACACAATCAGCACCACACATCAGTAAATGTATATATAGTAAGAATAACCCATCTTCAGTCAAATACAAGAAGACAGGAGCCACTGTAGCAAGTCAGTGGCACTCACTTTATCAAGGGGAGACAACAGAAGTTACCAGGTTAATGTATATACTGTACTGTACTGTACGTGTGTTAGGAAGCCTTGTTTTATATACTTTTGTCTCACTCATATTAGCCTGATCACAGACCTAATATGAAACATGTCTATTATCTTTATTCTTCTTCCCTCATGTGGGGTGGATCAAGGCATTTAAGTGGGTCCCATAGGGCTGAAGGTTTTCTAGGGGCAGTGTGGATACTTCACACTTTACCTTCAGTACACAATGAGACATCATTGCCATTTGGCAATCATTTCACTACACATGGGACACAGGAGACGGTGAGTAGTTGAGATCCCCCATGCCACTCCCTCTCCCCGGGACCCGAATATATGCGAATTCACACTTAAGCCGGAATACCGGGAAAGTAACCCCCGTGTACTCTTGAGACCCTTCTGTAATCTAAAAGTCATCAATTCAAACATCATTTATAAACACTAATTACTCAGATTTTAAATTTTGGAACCTAGATTCTTAACCAGTATGTAAAGGAGTACTTTTGTATTAAATTTTAATAAAATCTATGTTTTGACGTCATGTGACAACCCGCAAGGTATATGGTCAAGCATTTCTAGTGCGATGAAAGCCTATTTTCTGAGAAGTGAAAAGTAACGCAATTAAATTGTAAAGTTAGTGTATATTCTGGGAAAATGTCTATAATGGTGATTTATAATTTACTGGCATTTTCATTATTCTAATGTATTTAACTATTTCACAGTACAGAACTATAATTGTTTTAATTTTAAACTTTTGAGCCCAGATCTTTAATCAGTATATAATTCATGGGTTAGGAACAAGAAGACATTGTGATTTATCAAATTGCAAATCAGAGTTTGATTAATTTAAATTCCCAGATTATTGAAGTTCATTTGGGACAGGATTAATAAAACATTATTGTAAAGTTATAAATAAATAAAAAACAAAGATCTCACTCAACCCCAGATGAATTATTGTTTGGTATTAAATTCCCGGTGTTTTATTTACAGAGCGCGCTCACTGCCAGCCTGGCGCCTGCCTTTCTCGATGGTGGTGCATTGACGTAACCTACAGGATAATTATAAGAAGGGAAGGAGATGTTTATGTAATGCAGAGCTAGCTTTTGTACAATATTATGTGTTACTGTTTTTTCTTTTATGTATTATGTATGGTGTTTAGTGTTCATTAAAGAAGTTTTGGTATGGTTGATGAGTATATTTTTTGGCCTCCAGAATCAAACTAATCTTTTCCATTTAAATCAATTAAACTTTAATTTTCAATTTTATAATTCACTCACAGTCGCTTGTTTGGAACCTATGGTGCATCAATAGACACTTTCCAGGAACCTTTGTCCCACTAACAGATTTTCAACCTTATATTTCACTGCCTCTCACCAACAGATTTTCAACTTTCACTGCCTCTCACTAACAGATTCTCAACTTTCACTGCCTCTCACTAACAGATTCTCAACTTTTACTGCCTCTCAACCCTATACAGGTACTCCTCGACTCACGACCCGGTCATCGGTCCCTAACCCAGCCGTAAGTCGAGGACTGACTGTATTTCACTGCCTGTACACTTCATAGAGAGGGGTCAGTAAGATAGATGTTTGGGACCTTGTGGAAGAGGGGTATCGCAACAGAATACTGATCATATCTATTACAGCAGTACAATGGAATGAGTGACAGCAAATGAAGAGAAAATGTGGGTGAGTAACTGACTAGCTGGTTTTAATTCTGGTTACTCAATTACACAGTAGCAGGAAAACATTTGAAAGAGAAAAAAGTTCTTCAAGCTGGTTAATATTCTTTACCATATAAAAAGTACATAGACAAATTATTTATACTGCACTTTACTATATCATCATGGGAACAGCAATCTCCTTACCTAGTTTCTTGACCATGGTAACAAAGCAAACGCCCGTCATGAATGCATCATAGCCTGCATCATGGGCCTTGCTGTTGTCTTCAATGTTGTAACTTTCATAACCATCTTCAACATTAAAGTCTGGGGGACTATACTTGGTACACAGATCACTGTACAAGATCCCTAAAGACGTAATTGGAATGTCTACACTGGAAAATAATGTACATCAGACATTAATAAAAATGAATACCAAAGTACAAATAATACATTAACATTTGTGTTGCAATTAAAACATTATATTTCACAGTTTCTCATGAAATAAAATACATTATGTCAATAAAATGAATATCAGAGTTCAGTACAGTGATATAAAACAATTACACTTTAAGTTACATTATGAAATCAGTAAATAAAGAAGAAAAGCAATAGACAACCTGTGTACACATACCAGAATGGAGGATCTTTTGCTATGAGTTTGGTATCATATATAGTGGGAATATTGCATTTAACCAAGTTCTTGAACTGTTCATGTTGCTCTGGCAGAGGCTGAACCATTTTGTCAATCATATGAAACAGGTCTAAAATAAGATTGTGACCCACAATTGGTGTTCCAGTTTCCAAAATCTTATGGATCACATGAGTGAAGCCCATCTGGAAGACAACAGTGGTAAAGTTTTGCAATATGAATCAAATATCAGAAAATATTAATATTAAAAATAGTTTTGTGATGATTCTGTGGGATACCTCTACTCATCATGGTCCTATTCTGTCACTTTCTAAACTTCTGTCTTAAAATAAAACTACAGTAGAACCTCTATACACTGGACTTCAATACAGCAGAATTAACTTTTTTGGGACTCTCTGAGGTGCTCCAGATCACCCATCAATTTACCAGAAATATTTTTAAAAATTCTAGAAAACCAGCATCTGTAAAATTAAAAAAATGCCATGAAAAGAACACTGGCTCACTGAATACTGTACAGTGGTTTAATCAGATTTGCTTTAGGCCTGACAAGAGTCACAAAGTATAAGAGTTAAGACACTGAATATGTAAACAGGCTGGGGGTGGCAGGGGGGAGGGAGGACATTGCCACATTTGCCAGGTTTATTTATTAATTAAATATTATATCATCGTATGATCAGCCTCTTATGTATATGATTCATCATAATTAATACAACATCTTCAAAACAAGAATACCTTGCTTACAATGGGTCATCATAGCACACGGCATAGTATTTATTACGTACCAATTTTTTAAAAACAGCCCAGATTAGCAGGGTTATGTCCAGATCCCCACACCATAGATTTGTTTCTTTTCAAACTTTTGCTTTTTTCCAGACTACGGGCAACACCAATTAATCTGGTGTATTGAAGTACAAGCATTACTGTACTGATATATCCCCATAAATAAATTTTTTGAAATAATAATCATATTCAGACATGGCAAACTAGAGTGTCCCAATGTGAGGTACTATACTCGTAGAATAAACCCTCCCGTTTGGCGAATTCGAAGTTGGAAGATAAAATTCAAAGTACCCTGCCCTACATTTTGGCGGTCAAACCCTCAGTTTGGCGAGAGTTTAAATTTAAATGCAATCACAACTAATAATTGTAGAATAATAAGTGCAAGATAAATCTCGTTTAATACGACTGGTGAGTATTATTGGTGAGTATTTACTGAGCACAAAGCGCCAGTCAGCTGTTCAGGCGGCCATTTTGACAGCGACAATCCACATTTCCGCTGCTTGTTTGAGTGACCTTGGCCTTTGTGTACCTTTTTTTTTATTCCCTCTCGCTTTGCGCTGTGTTCGCGTGCGGATTAATGGCCTCAAAGGTACCTGGGGATATTGGAGGGGATGATAGTGGTGGCGAAAGACCGTCTGAGCGCCCGGGCGGTTCAAACGATGGGGTAAAAACAGAGACGAAAAATTCTAGTGAGTATCGAGTTGGGAAGAAAATGAAAAAGTGCTCATTTGATAAGAGAAATATGATTGAGCCTGCCAAAGGACTTTTATTTTGAAGGCTTTGATCTGATGGTGGTGGAGGCAGAAGCGGAGGCAGTGGTGGAGGAGGGGGGAGGGGAGAGACTGGAGGCAGAAGCGGAGGCAGTGGTGGAGGAGGGGGGAGGGGAGAGACTGGAGGCCCGGGTGGGGGGGCGACGGACGTTAACCTTCCTTTCCCAGCCTCAGATACCAGCTTTGTGTACATTAAGCTCCTCAACTTTAACTTTAAGGTTGGTTTTCTATGTTTATGTTCATTACCTAATCATTCATTCTCTTTCAGTAATAAATTATAGGTTATACGTGGGTAAAATAGAAACAATTGAGACTTTGGCTGGCCACCTCAGTACCACTTATGCTTTTTCCCATTTCATTAAGCCCTCTGGTTTGGCGATTCTGGGTTGGGTGAGGTTTTTTCGGCACTAATTAGTCGCCAAACTGGAGGGTTTACTGTATGTCTACTTACCACTGAGAGATTTTCAAAGAAAGTGTGAATTGTTTTAGGTCATATGTACCCAAGTATACAAAGATGAGGAAAAAGGTACCAGAGATAAATAATAATAATAATAATAATAATACACAGCACAAAAACGCCTTCATAATTTGAAACTGTTTTGGTCGTGCCTTTTTTCTTTAATGTTACTGTTATTACCATTATCACTAATTATGATTATAAAGCAAAGAAAAATAAAATAAAATTAAGACAATGAAAATTATGGCATTTGTTCATGATGTGAAATACAAAATTAAGCAAACTAACCTTTTCATCTAATCTTTGTTCTCTTTCTTCCTCAAGAAATTTGATTCTAGATGCCGATGATTCAAACTTGCGTATTTCAATGTTTCTTTCACTGTCTGTTGTTACACAGCGAACAAGAATATTCTGGTACAGGGCTGCAATATTATTATACAAGATCTTACGAAAAAAAGAAGAAATGTTACTGCCAGGAAGCAAAAGAACGTCCTGTGACTCATCCACCATAAACGCATCCATTTTGGCCTCTGTCTCTTTCAAGAATTTTCTGGCATTTTCCTCTGCTACCTATAATAAAAATAAAATCACCATTAGCAATACGATAAAGGCACATTACAGTATATGCACCTTTATAAACTAGCACGGTACATAATTCACTGTCACATGAATAATCTATACATCTATCATCTTTATTTATGCATTAAAAAAGAATCCATTTACAGTACAGGTATTGTCAAATATCTAATGAAATACAGTATAGTACAACAATTCATAATACAGAACAACTCTGGTTTAAAACTACACTATTGACCTTTAATAGTTAGTTGATTTGTCAGTGATACAGTAATATTCCCATTCACTTGTTAAGTTTATATGTCATTAAGTATATAATGAGTATATCCTTCATGTATTCAGTGTGTCTAATATCTTTCTAGGGCATCCCACTGACAAACTGTACTCAGCATATTCCATGACATACTTTAGCTTGTTCCTTTAATATTTCCTGGAGTACAGTATTCCATCAACATAATCAATGAAAATATTTGCTTACACTAACCTTTATGGGAGATGGCATTTGTGGTTCTAAGGATTGGGTTTTATACTCTGCCCTTTTCTCAGCTTCTTGTGCCAAAGAGAGGTAAGGAAGTCCACCTTAAAAATATGAAAACCTTAGAGAATGGAAGCAATTGGTTGTGCAATGAGGGCAATATATCTGACACACATCTCTTCTCCACACACACTATGACTTTATATCTCCACACACTATGACCTTATATCTTCACACACACTATGATATCTCTGCACACTCTGACCTTATATCTCCCCGCACTATGACCTTATATCTTCACACACACTATGATATCTCTACACACTATGACCTTATATCTCCCCGCACTATGACCTTATATCTTCACACATACTATGATATCTCTACACACTCTGACCTTATATCTCCACACACCATAACATCCACAGTTTAAGTCTGCCCTCAATAGGGGCTTGACAAGTTATAACTGGAAGTTATTTGGTCCAATGGGTCAACTTACAGTAAGAGTTACAGTTACAACTCTTTGCCCTATGAAGTAATCTTGAAGCAAAGTTTCAAATCCCTAATCCAGTGACTGATTTGAGAGCGAGCAAGACTTCTAGTTTAACAGGCCAAAACCCTGAGGAAAGTTCATCCCTCCTTCTGGAACATGGCTATAAATATGCAATACATGGTTCTACCTTCCATATTTCCAACCAACTTAGAACCCATTTAGGGAGGAGGAAGGGAAACCAGTTCACTCATTTCCTCCCCTCTATTATCAACTGGGAAGACCAAACATCACAGGTTTCCTCCTGTATGAACACTGGGCAATAAAGGTCACAATACAGTAACAAAGAACATAACAACTACCTGAATGGCTAGTGAGCTCATAAGTCATGGCATGATAAATTAATCAGAATTAAAAGGCAACAGTTGCAGGTATTATCCTGGCGGGCAAGAAACAACAGTTGCAGTAGTTGTCTTTAAAGAGTTAAATATCCCCAAGTTGTACAGTTCTCCCATGAGTGACAATGGTTACCTAAATATTCTGTTTAATAATCTATTCTCATATTCAAAAGTTGTTCGAACAAAAACAAAATTCCTACAAAAAACCTCGTCCACCAGGAACAGCCCTTTTTCAACCACAGAAAAACATAACTAAACTGTACCCAAAATACCTACTTTTAAACAATTTGTTGAAATCAAATCCATTGTCAGCCAAGAATTTCAGACTGTTATTATCATAATACAGTATGTCCCCTGCTTTCCCCAGCAGATAAAAGCAGTAAGTTGCATGGGAGTATCTGAAAGTACGTATATATAATTATTATACAGTACACAGTGCATAAACCCAAATACAATTACAGTTCTGTACTGTACAATACTTTAATAACAGACAATACTCTTATGAAATGGAATGCTTGCTATACATTTAGAAAACCCAACAACTAATGAGCTATAAATCCTGGTATATTTTAACTCCTGCAGAAGAATCATATGTCAACTTCTATAAATTCTCTCCTTCCATATAAAAGACTGAACTGAGCATTTATCTCAATTTAAAAGTGTTGTAACAAAAGAGACATCTCTTGATACTGTACCTGAAAGCTCTTGAGCCTTACTTAAAGCCATACATAGTCTTCAACAAAAATTCATACTTACGCAAATTTCTCTTTAACATATCGAAATGTTGTAACTCCAAACTGAATCATTCCAAAACTCTGTGCAGCCGCTCTGCTTTTGGCATATCTGAAAAGGAGCAGGCAAAATATATTATGCTGTTTTATATAAATTGTGGGTAGACATCCCCTTAGTAAGAAGGCCTATCTAAACCCAGGATAATGATGTATAGTATATAGTGTCCAGGTTAACACACACACCAACCACAATACTGTACTACCAAGTGAGTCTAGATCACCTTTATATATATTGTTTACAAACAGTTTTTTTATTCCACATGTCTACATATGGAGGATTATACCTCAAATCCTTTTACAGGAGGTGCCCATGGCCGGCTGGCTCTCTTTATACAGCTCTTGTAACCTTAGACAGAGTTCCCCAATGTCAGCTATTGTCAATCTGTTAATCTATTGAGTATACTGCAGTCATTACCGTATTTTACTGCACTGCACTTTTATAGAACCTCACACTTCCGGTGGGCAGTGAACAGTGCTGCCAGAGGCTGACAGAATCTGCAATTCATTGTTAAAATATTCTGACAGCCATTAAATATGAAGACCTGTATTGTATTATGCATTCTTCATAATTTTACATTTAATTTTACAGTAATATTAAATAAATAATGTAAAAAGAAAACAGACGTCTGCACCCTGGTAGTGTTGTATAATGAATTGGAAAATCTGTCCACCACTGGTTATGAGTTTTCAAGGCACTCCTTCCTCTGTATCACAATCTCCCCTTCCCTTTCTCTCTCTCTCTTAACCTTTAATTAACTGTTACTGCATGCATATATCACTCATTGCTCTGGTTGGTGTCCTTAGCTAAAGTTATATTCAAGAGAGATATTGAGATAACAAAGTATGTATGTGGAACCATAAATTTTCTGCTTGTAAGAGGTGAGAGGTAGGGAAAGTGAGCACAGGAGTCTACACTCTGAAGTCAGCAAAGCTCCACCCACCTGCAAGCGGGAATACTTCCTCGTCTATAGACCTTAGTTAAAATTTTACAATAATTCCTCATGTACCCAATACTGTAAAAGAATTAACAAAACTTTATGTTCTTTGATACAATTATTATGAGAACTAATAGCAACTGTAGCTCTGACACAGGCCATGAAACATTACATGTGGTGGAGGTGGTGTGGGTGAGGACATTACCTATGCACAGCACTAAGACTTCATGTAGCTGCAATGTTGATCTCATTTCTTTAAACTATGACCCACTAAAAATGCACCTCTGAGAGTTTTACTATAATAACAATATACAATACATAGTACAGTAAAATACTTTAAACAAATATCAAAGGGGATGCAAGAAAAGTTAAAAATAGCATTTCCCAACCTTTCTTCTGGAGTATCAAGCTCACAGTATTTTGACGTCCCATGGTGACGCAAACCAGTGAATTCTGCATCAACAGCCACAAAGTCTGCATTTTCAATTGCACTTAGTACACTAGGCAGGACCTCTTTGAAATCTGCAAAAGATATCAAAAGAAATGCTAGGGCCTGTGGAGATCACATTTTGCAGCCAAATATGAAACATGGACCCATTACAGTCTGGTTTGCCTGGCATATGTAGATCTAGGACATACAGTACTACACAACTAGAACAGGGGAGAATAGGAAGTCCCCACAGCACTAAAGGAATACAACAATATAACATCATGACAAACAATTAATAATTATTAAACTCATAAAATCAAGGTGAGATATATCCACATACAGTACAGTACCAAGTTGGGGTGAAATCCATGACTAATTTGTCACATTAACAAGTTCATAACTCCAGAGACCCTTCCCAAGTTGGCTAGGTACAACAACCACATTTTCAATTTAACCTTGGGTCAAGAAGCTTATGTAATGAATACTTCTCATTACTGGAGACTCTACCTTGACTAAATATTTTCACTCAGCCAATCATGGAATTTCCCTTACTATAGTCAGCGAGAAACAGGTAGAAGGTAGTAATACTGCCTAAGGTCCAAATGTTAAAAGGACATGAACTACACGGGGGGAGATAACTACACTAGGGGCTCTTAATCTTTGTGAGAACCAGTATGGTTAGGTTAGCACTTGGTGTATTACAGTACAGTACAGTATAGTCATTTGCGAGGGAAACGTCATAAAACAAAAGTGTCTTAAAATTGTTTAAACCAACAGAAAAACACATTGCTCAACTCAAGTTGTGGTTGGTTAAAACTACAAATTCACCAAAAGTCCTTTCTGCTTAATATGGTGAGGGTCTGAGGTTGGGGGAGTTAGGTAAGGTTAGGTAGGTTTCTTTGGTTGGTTAGGTCAGGTTCTGTGCATTGTCATATCATTTTTATTACTTAATATCACCCAAAGAATATATGTGGAAAAAATGAACGAAATCGAACAACACATTCTGGTGTTAGCTGTCTGTCTCAGTATTACCATCATAATATTATCTCCTAAGCTATACAGCTTTAACTTACATAACAATCTGTTATGAAGGACCTTATCGATAGCCTTCATGGAATCACTATAGGCCACATTAGTGCTGTATTCTTCATCGGTAAATTTTTTGTTTAGGACACGAGTCCCTAGGGGTTGACCAATATGTTTTTTCCAGTGTATTTTGGTGTGTTGTAAATGAGTCTGACGTTCGTTTTTGTCCCCCCCCCCCCCACCCAACAATAATGGAGAAGAGCCTGGGAAATCTGGGTTTTTTGGTGGGGGAGAAAACGAAAACGAGCCCTCTAACCTAACAAAACAAAACCTAACCTAACCTAACCCCTAGCTGGACCCCCAGTAGGCCTAGCTTAAACTAACCTAAATGTTTCAGTAGTTAAAAAATTTGGGGTGTGCCATGTCCGAAAGTACAATACCTTAGTTAGAAGTGGAAGGACCAGGGATACGTAAGAATTTGATAGAATACTCGTCTTTCTCATAAAATTCAGCAACAGCAATAAACTTAAAATAATCGTAGGAGCACAAATGACAACCAACCTCCACCACGGCCATTGTGAAACTGCTCAATTAAATTACCCAGGCTGCTTCCTTTGAAAAAAAAATCAAATGTGATTGGATGACGTCAATCAATTGCGCATGCGTGATGCGGCAATAAATACCCTCAAAGACTGAAAACTGCGTAAAATCAATTAAATTCAATTCTGTCGCTATTATCCATTTCCGCCATGTATATATGGGGACGAGTGGAACAAGTTACCAAATATTATCATTAACTCGAATATGCTGGATAGCTTCAAACATAGGTTGGGTGGATATATGGGCAATAGGGGTTGGGTGTAAATGGGACTGCCCAGTATGGGCCAATAGGCCCGCTGCAGTTTCCTTCATTCTTATGTTCAAAATGCTAAATATTGGGAGATCTAAATGTTTCAGTAGTCGATAACTTTCGGGTGCACTATGTCCTAAAGTAAAATAACTCTCCTTCATCTACAGATTCAGTCCATTTATCAAATTTTTTTATCAATTGAAGGTCAGTAACATCACTTTATCCTCCAGCATCTGATAATTAAGGTAAGGCTGATTAGGTTTGGTTAGGTTTTGGTCATTTTTTTCGTGTTTTTACTCCACAATTTCTCTTTACTTCAAAGCCCTGCCCATTTTGTGTGAACAAAATATGTTGGTAGTGGAGGGGGGGGGGGGTCGTATCTATATTACGGCTCATTTCCGACGGAAATGAAGGTTAGATTCCCTTAAACACCACTAAATATACTATAAAATCTTTTCGGCAACTTTTCTTGGTACATTTCAGTTTCGGCAATCCTGTATTTGTATATCCAAACAAATCTAACCTAACCTAACCTAACCTAACCTACTGTAACCTAACCATGTCCCCGGATGACCGAAACTTAATTAATACCTTTTTCTTGTTCGTAGTCACCGTGGTAGACAATTTCCGAGTCTTTACCAATAATTCTTTTCTTTCATCTAACACAGGAAGTCTTGGGGGCCCTTGTATAGCCTGTGAAGTTTTTAATTATTACACTATTAACCTTCTACCACTGTCTAGATAACTATCACCTCATTAAATACACTTACTGTCCTTTGTCACCTCCATTCTTGTCTTGACAGTCCCCGGGCCAGGGTAGTTAAGGTTCAGCAGGGTAGTTAAGGTTGAGCCAGTTAGTGTTATCAGTGTTTGGATCTTGTGTTTTGATACAACTCACTGTTGCCATATCACCATCTGCTGGTCTTAGGTTTATTAAATTAAATGTTATTACTCGTTTTGATCATCGTAGGAGTATGTTTTAGATACTCCTTTCTAATAAATGCATTTCAAAATAGTTTTTATCCATATAAATTAATTTTCATGAATCATTTAGCGTCAACAGAGAAAGTAGCAATTATAGATTATACTATCTATAAATATCGCTACACAACGACCCAAGACACAGGAATGGAGGGTGACGATATAAGGCTTTATTAGTAGTAGTAGTATTACTGTTTACTAGCCGTTAGGGCAGTTCTTTAATAATAACATTATCCTGACATATTTACATTATAATCTCGAAAATATTTATATATTTTTTTTAAGAATCTAGTTAAAAGTACTGAAGATGAGAATAAAAAAAAAATCAATATTTACAACTGACTATAACAGGTAGGGGGCTGCCGGCACCCCTGTTACACGTAAACAAACTGGGTGCTGGCACGGCCGCCGCTAGCCGATCGCGTTTTCTTGAAAGTAATTAGTAGAACCATCTTGCATGGCAGTGAACAGTGACATCAGTGAACAGTGACCTATATACAGTATAGTGTTAATGAATATGATGCATATCTTTGTGTATGAACCTTTGTCCTGGGTGGCAGTAAACAGTGACATCACCTTCAGTGTCAAGATTTGACTGAATTACTCAGAATAGACAAACTGTACTCTAAGCTTTGTCAATATATTTGTTAAACAAAAAAAAGTAGTACTTTGTAGAAAACTTTCAAATGACGAGGTATAACTTAGATATTTTGAGCACTATGAACACGTCCAATAAAAGGCAAAGACAAAACACAATGCAGGGGCAGTATTGCAGTAATGTCTTAAGGCGTTTTTGTACAGTAAAATGTAATTACTAGTGACTTCAGAATATTTCCAAATATCAAGTGCACATGCCCTTAAAATGTCCATGATATTGGGCAGATTTCAAACAATTTTCCCCAGCTGGGTGGTCTCACTGTGTTCACCATGTTCCCCCACCCACAACTTCTTGAAGCCCCTTTTGATATTCCTGGATCCGCCCCTGCAATGTTTGAATTAATGTTGTTTAATGAACACATATAGTCTCTCCTCGACTTACGACGGGGTTCTGTCCCGACGACCAGGTCGTAAGTTGAAAAGGCAAAAATAATACATAGAAATTCTAAAATGGGTGTCTCTTTTTCTTCTCAGCACCACAAGAACTCGCACTTTTACGCTTGCCAGCCATTTTAAAGGGAATTACAAACGTAAATTTTGTCAGTACACAGCGTGATCACTAACGTCTTGACTCAAAAATACGTAATGTGAAAAATATTTTATATGACCATGGCCGTCGTATGTCCGGGTTGCCGTAAGTCGAATATGTTGCAAATTGAAGAGAGACTGTATATGTAAAAATCAGTACAGTACAAGTAATTTATTTATTAATTACACCAATCAGTTGTTGTACACAGTCAGCCAAAGATGCAGCGACCCCACCCCAAGTCTCGCACTGGCAATTTTACCCGTCAATACTTGGTAAAGTAAGGCTGTATGTAAAGGTGATTGTGATTGGTGTATTTATTTTCGGCGTATATAGGATATGTTATTGAATAAAATTGGCATATTTGTGTCGATGTATTATTTACCTCTTAACAATACCAATGCAATTGGCGAATTGTCTGATCTTCCAAAGCTTTATTACAGCTTGTCAACTATGAGTGGTTGTTGTGTTGACTCCAAGCAAACTCATAGGATTGGAAAATGCAGTTAAATAGATATCATGTTTTTAGATCTGTACTGTAAAGAACAGGCCATTGACTGGTTACTTACGATGTTTTCAGCCTACAGGGTAGTCTTACCCTCAATTAGTCTGACACCATGAGAGTTTGGTAAAATCTCTTAAGTGATAAATCTTGTTTCTGGAGACATTTGATGCTGGTACTAATATGGTTACATATATTTACAAGAATTGAACATTGAGCATTTTTCTTTATCATCTACTCACTGCACAATTCATTTCAAGGGAAAAAATCTATAGTCTGAAATACATTGCAAAAAATAAATGGGAGTTACAATTCAGCAATAAATATTTTACATAGAGCCTAAGAACTTTTCCTTTCCCCTTTTGCTGTCCAGAATTCTGTCCTCCATATTTCAGGTTTTTATGCCCCTAACACACGAGGAATGAAAATAATATAAAAGACATAAAAACCTGAAAAATTATCTATCAGTAACAAGCCAACATGCCTTCATCTTCTCAAAGATATACACAACGCTGTACTGTACAGTACAGTGTACGTATTTGTATAATATGAGGAATCCCCTCTTCTTAAACCTGAGTCTAAGAATGACCAGGAGCTAAACTAGAAAAAAAAAAATCTCATATGACTGAATTAGTATTGTATCAGACTCTCAGTGAACCAATCATCTATTTGAAAAAAAATCACATCTGGAGATTCACAAATAGATGACTTCCTACCAAATTAATAAGATATCGTATACTGTACAGTACAGGTACGGTATGCACTTCTACCTAAACTTGCATTTTTGTGACCTGGTTTATTCATTAGACAATTGTATGGCACACATGCTTTAAATTATTTAGTACATATTACCCTTAATTCATGTGCAGCTTAATGAAGAACGGTAGACGAAGACTAACAAGGAAAATTACAATACCTGTACAGAGTACTATACAAAAGTTGAGTCCTGGATGTGATGATTTATGTTCTATAATTTGTGGATTTGTTAGCACTGCTGTCTTATGTATTATTTATATACAGTGACCCCTCCGTTAACGAACTCAATCCGTTCCAGAAGGTCGTTCGTTAACCGAAAAGTTGGTTAACCGAAACCATTGTTTCAATGGGTTTTTGGGAAATTGGTTCCAGCTCACCGAAAATTTCCTAAATTCAACAAAAATGGTAGAAAAGTTCACTTACTTTGAGGTGTGTATGTAGAAGGCTCCTGGATGATGATGATGATGATGGGATTTAGAATGGGGGTGGAGGAGAAGGAAGAAGAGAAGGCATTGGGGTGGAAGAGAAGTCACCCCATGGCGCCATTTCACCCATAAAATTTTAGCTGTCTGGTGTAATTCAAGATTATTTTCTTTAAATCAACACTGCACTGCATTATATATTGTCAATATGTAAAATATATTTAAAAATGACCAATAATTTGCTTGGAAACACAGAAAAAAAGCGTTTAGTTGAAGAGAGTCTCAAGCAGGATGTTACCTCCAGTGAAAACAAAGAGAGACTAACTCCTGTTTGCTGTGTTAAGAGGCTGGATGCCTGCGCATTAAACTAGTCACTTTACCTTCAATTATGTTCAATAATTGTTAAAATGACTAAAAAATTGAATATTAAACTTTTAAAATTATTGAATAGTATAAACTTCTTGATATTTACTAAAATAGTAAGGAATTTAAGCCCTAGAACCGATTAATGTATTGGCGGACTGATACTAAAGCTGGTTGCCCGGTCAGTGCAAGCGAAAACATGTTGAGGTCGGTTCGTAAGAACTTCGTTAACCGAATTTTTTTTCGTTAACCGAATTGAAAATCCTTATGGAAGGCAGTTCGTTAATCGAAATTACGTTAACCGAGGTGTTCGTTAAACGAGGGGTCACTGTATTTGTTTTATTTTTTAACATTTTGCTTTCTTTTGTTTTGCAGGTAGTTTTTTTCCTTGTTCAATAAAGGCTAATATGTTATGATTTGGCCAGAATAATGGTGTAAATAAAGCCTTAAGATATCTGTCTGGTTTATCCTCAGCCTCATGCATAAGGGTAAGTACACAAATTTGGCATAAGAAATAAATTATCAGTTACCCTATAGTTCATTCACTCATGTTATGTGAAGTTTATAAAGTGAGTAAAAAAAAAACACAAGCACACAGTTTGAAGGATTCATATTTATGTGTTTGCTAAATTTTTCCAAATTCAATTGAATACATGTACAGTAGTATAAATGAAACTTATTTTTTGCAACTGAATATAACTGTATCAAAATGTCTCATTTTAAAAAGAATGAGTTACGAACCCCAAGTATAAAAATATAATTGAAGTTAGGAAGTACAGTACTGTAAATAGGTTGAACATCAACATCCATTACCAAAATCAATTCTTTTCATTAATATATTATTCTATATTACAACAATGTTCAATTCACTTCAAACTGACAAGCGAATTTTCATTTATTTAAAGATTTAACAAAGGTAAAAATATATTTCCCTTCCAGGTGAGGGAATATAGTGATCGTGTCACCACTCACCTGGCTGTATGTACTGTACAGTAAGTAGCCCTGGGGACATACTCCACCCCCTTTATTTTTGTTAGTAAAAGCAGAGAAACCTTGGATGTCTGGGTGTAGTTATGTTGATGAGAAGGAGAAAATTAAATTGTGATGGACAAATAGAATGTAGACGTCTCGCCTTTGGTAGGAATAAAGTTGCCGGGTAAAGGATAAGTGAGGGCAAGTGAAGGGTGTAGAGTCAGGAGTGTCTAAGAGTGATTGGTTTCTGGGGATGTATGGCACTGTACTGTATATGTTACTGAATTGTGAGAAGTGATGGGTAAACCTGTTGGATACCTGGAGGCTTTGTTGTGGAAGGGGACCACAATAGCAGCATATGGTAAGGCTGATAGAAAGAATAAATGATTGAGAATATGGAGTGTGTGTGTGTGTGTGTGTGTGTGTGTTTTTTTTCTTTATGCCAGCCACCCTGGACTGGTGCAAGGAAGCATTTCCAAGAGTGAAAACAAATTGAAACTTGAATTTCTTAAAGTAAAATTTTTGATTTAGAGTACTGTACAGTATTGCACTCACTTACTATGTACCGGTAAGTGACATTTCCATATATATTTACATAACAGAAAAAGTGATATTTCTATATGAGTAATACAGGTATAGTATGTATACTGTACTGTTTTGTATTTCATCAGTTCCACAAATTTTACTAACCTGATGACTACAGATTCAGATTTGCCCCCACACAAGTGCCGGGGCTAGTTTATTGGGCATTTTTTTACATCTTGTTCAGGGCTAAGTGCAAAAGTATGATAACAGGAAAGGAAATGGAGTTCTCGCTTGCCTTCCTGAAGAATACAGTATTAAAGTTTACATAATTTTTTTTATCTATTTATCACTCATAAAATAATTATTGCACATATAAAATCATACCATGATGAAGCACTAAATATTTTATCACAAACATTTTAAACTTCAACAATAATAAACTATCTCTTAAGTTCCATTGCTGTATAATAAAGGTGTATGCAGAGGATGTGAACATTAATGAATGAGAAGGGTCTAGTGTAATACACACTTTCACAGTAGGTCAGGCCTTAACTGGAGATATCATTTTTTCCTTCAGTTCTAAAAACCAGCTGATAAACTTCTTTGAAGGTTTTTTGGCCATTCTCAAGATCCTGCCAGTCAATGCCACTCGAATGCTGCCTCATGTGGTGGTACGTACGGATAATTTCTGTGGGAAATTTCATGCCACAAACCATACATTGGCAGGGATCGAGATCTCTGTGTATATTTCTATGAAAAACCAAAGAAATCTCACAACTAAATTTCTTTCCACACAGCCTACATTTGTGTTCTTTATCCACTTCAACAACCTCTAAATGTTTCACATGATTTGAGTCCTTAAGAATGGCACTAGAAAAACTGACTGGCTGGTGTTCGTTCTCTCTATGTGATAAAAGAGAGGAAAAATGCTTGAACCATTTACTACAGTGATTACATTTAAAGGAACATCTATGACCGATAAATGATCTCTTGTCAGTGAAGGTTTTCAAACAAAGTTTACAAAAATGGTACATATCTTTGTGAGTAGCCTCATGTTTCCTGAAAGATGAGTGAGATTCATACTTATGATCACATCTTGTGCATTCAAAATATATTTTCACGTGTGATTTCAAGTGTTGTTTCATGGCTCGATCTGTTGTGTACTTTTTATCACACTGTGGACATGAGAATGGTTTTTCACCAGTGTGAGTAAAAATGTGGGACTGAAGATTACGTTTCATACTGAATGATCGCTCACAATAATCACATTGAAAAGATTCTGGTTCATTTTGTAGTGGTTGTAAACACTTTCTTTGAGATTTATAATTCATCATTAATACTGTACATATAACTTCACAACAACTATAAAAAAAAAATGTGAATTATATCTGTTGTTACCAGCTATCTCCTCTATGTCTTATTAACTTCATATAGCATCTTTAATTTTGTGACTACTTTCCACACTTATCAACAAGACAAAATTTAATGACAATGATACAATGTACATAATAACACTCTCACTTGTACAAATCAGTTACAGACTTCAACTGTTGCACAGTTCTTCACAGTCTCTCCTCAAAAAATTAATGAGCAGTGACTGGAGTTTAAAATGGAAGGATAGGACTTGAAAATCCGTTTTGCATTCAGTATCCCTCAACAGACCTTCCAAAAACAGTTTCAGAGTCCACCTTCTTTGATGCTACAAAATTCACAACATCTGCAAAGTACGAGCAAGACGTTAGGGAAAAAAGTGAACGAGAACTTGTTGTAATTGGTCTCAAGATTAACTTATAAAAGAGTTATTTACATGAGTAAGTCAATCAATATTATTGGTATTCATAGGACTGACTGATACAGTGAAAACTACAAACACACTTGACAATTCCATCACCAATCAAGAACAACTTTTTGTCCTCTTTCTCATACTTATGAAAAAAAGTTGACTCACATTAAAGTATTTTCTCCATTGATTTAGTGTTAAAAAAATAAGGGACACGATGCATAAATATATCTCTCCAGTTACACCCTCCAGCTTCAGGTTACCGGTATCTGCATGACATGCATGGAGAGCCTATGACAGATCTATGGTGCCATAAATATTAGTATTGTCTTCATTCACTTATATTCAGTTTTATACCCAAGTACTGTACAGTATTTTCTCGATTTAACGAACTAATTCGAGCCACCCCTTCCATTAAATCAAAATGTCCGCTAAACCGAATTTCGGTTATTTTCGCTCGAATTAGCAAACTAGTTCACTAAATCAAGCTTGATTCCGTTAAATTCTGCCACTTGGCACGTGGGGTTTGTTTACAACTGCTAAGTCTGTGTCCTGCCACCACCGAGTGTGTTGTTCACTGCTACCTCTCAGTCTACATCTCGGTCAACTAACTACTGTGCTTAGACATCATGCTTAAAGTCTCTCAGAAAGGAAGTGGTGTGGGGGAGAAAGTAAAAAAGAGTGCGGCTGTCAATTGGAAAAAAGTTTGGAAAAAAATAAATAAAACAAATGCCTAACCCCCTATTTTAAGGTAAGCCATGAATAATGTTTCTAATGTTTTTATGTACTCTACTGTACATATCATGCGTGTGAAGTGTCTCCGTAGGTGTGAGCGTATAAACGGAATTAATCTCGATTTAGTGAGCTAGTTCACTAAATAGAGCAAAAAATAACGGAAAAATTCCTTCCGCTAAATCGATAGTTTGTTATATCGGATTCCAGTAAATCGAGAGTATACTGTACTGTAGTACAGTATTTTATGCTTCCGGGTGAGTTGCACTGTATGATACACAGACATTTACATCTGTAAATGTTAGTCTTTTTAAAAAATATATCAAGAGTACAGGGAGGAAGGTAGAACAGCACTTTTTAATGGTAAAAATAATGCATAGCAACTTTGAGTATCTGTAAATGAAATAAGTATCATTAATCTACCAGGATATTACATGTGAATGGTAACTGTTCAGCAACATCTGAGAAACAAAAACAAAATCAACGAACTTAAAAAACAAAAAAATACTGTACCTCTATGCAATATGTGTTGGCACAGATGTCAGATGTTCGTCAACAGGGCACCAATAATTGTTATTTTGAGATACAGGTGATGACAATGAGTACCTGTACTATTTATACCGCGCACACCTCTGTCTTAACCTTGAGACCTGTAAGATATGTTCGAAGTTACATCTGCAGTAAGTGTTTCAGATATTGTATGTCCTGTACTGTACTCCATCTCCAAGACTGTGTTAAGACAGACAATGTGCACCTAAGATGAAGTTTTGTTGTCTTTTAATATAAAGTAATTTTCTTCATTTCTGTGTTCAGGCACCAACTTCATTACATAGGAATTACTGTGCCTGTTTTTATATCTAAACCTCTCATAGTTCTGTAAACATTGAAAGATACAGTACCTGTACATGTCAAATTCTGTCTGCACCAATAATTTTTGCTCCCCCACCAGATTGAAATTCAGTGCATAAGCTCAAATATGTCATTGATTCTCACATACATAATAAAGTGACATCTACTGAACCCTTCTTCACCAAATACAGATCAGTGACAATTAAATGACCCTTGAATTTTCCCACTTCTACAAAGACATACAGTATCCAATTTTGTCAAGATCCCCTACTATACTGTACTGTACTGTATAATACTGAATTAGAATTAGTTCACCTGATTAAGTTACGGTTATTGTGACTGATGAAATTAATCGAGTGGAAAATGGCATGACATAAATTCCACCAATACATTCACATGCAGTACTGTAGTAATCTCCCCGTGAGCCAGAACCTCCGGTCCCTGTAACTCTCCAATAGCCGGAATGAATTTTGAGCTTTTTGGGAAATTCTGGAAAAAATCTCTCGGTTCCAGGCATGAGAACGGGTTTCAGGGGATAAATTACGTGCATTTTCTGGAAAAATTCTGGGAAAATCTTTCTGTTATGAGCATGGGAATAACATATTGTAAATAAACAAAATACTGTATACTATTGTATAGTATAAGTTTTGGTAGTATGTATTGTATTAGGTTAAATTGGGTAGGCTCGTATAGAAAGGAAAGACAGGTGGTTGCTGATTGAGGACCATTCCAGCACTTAATGTTTGGGGTTGGTTAGTTACTGGGAATTTTTTTTTTTTTTTTTTAATTGAAGGCTGTGCAAATGGGGAGATGGTGGGCATAGTGCATCTTTATTTGGTTAATATTTATGACTAACCTGCGGACGAGTTATTTTTGTTACTGTTTATTTTCTTACTTATTTTTATCATTAAGTTTAATATGATAATCATTTCTTGTGCAAATTTTCGTTTCATGGATAATTTGGTGCCTTGGCCCGCACTAATTGTCTTCCCAGCGGTAATGAGGCCGCTCTCTGGTGCTGTGCTTTTCCCCGAGCTCGTGGTAGTTTCATTTTCAGCATGATGTGTGAAGGTTGTCGCTGGTCTTATATACACGTAATTTGTGAATTTAGGGATAAAGACAATGAAACCCTTCAACTGTTCAAAGACCACAGCAATGTTCCTTTAAATAGAGACTGTCCACACTGTGGGAATTCCTGTGCTTTCAGACCGGAAAGAAATTTGTTCATCACTTCCCCAATGCTATGGCTCGACGTTTCCCGCCATCACTAAATCACTCCGCCGCCCGGGCTGCATAAGCGCCGATGCGCCTGCATCATCTTAAGTAACGTTTATTTAAAAAAAAAATTTTTTTTTAACACATTTACACAAACTACAACAGTGTCCACTATAAAATTACAGTGAAAATACGTAATTTTTAGAATTGTTTTCAATCAATTTCGGTAGTATGATAGTCGTAAATAATTACCTTTTATTTATAGGAAAACTAGAGAAAAATAAATCACAAAAATGCTGTATTATTTTACTTTAGGATATAGAGCTATTCTGAGCATTTTGAACCCCCATATATACATGGCAGAAATGGAAAATAGCGACACAATTTAATTGATTTTACATAGTTTTCAGTCTTCGTCTCTGTGAGAAGATGTTATCGCCGCATCACGCACATGCAATATTGATTGACGTCATCCAGTCGTGACAAATGATGTATCGATATCATCATGCAAATTTTTTTCGACCAATCACATTTGATTTTTTTCAAAGGAAGCAGCCTGAGTAATTTCATTGACCTGTCTCACAATGGCCGTGGTGGAGGTTGGTTATCATTTGTGCTCTTACGATTATTTTAAGTTTATTGCTGAGTTTTACGAGAGACGATTATTCTATCCAATTCTTACATATCCCTGGTCCTTCCACTTCTAACTAAAGTACTGTACTTTCGGACATGGCACACCCCAAAGTTTTTAACTACTGAAACATTTAGGTGAGTTTAAGCTAGGCCTACTGGGGGTCCAGCTAGGGGTTAGGTTAGGTTAGGTTTTGTTAGGTTCATTTCTTTTATCCTCTTCACCACTGATCAGCGCATTAGCCACTTGGGTGATCGATCACGTCTCTGTTACGCACTGTTGGCAAGTACTGGGCATGCACCGGCTCCTGAATGTACCTGAACCTGCTCCAGTGTTGGTCAAGTCTGGTCTTGAAAGAGCTCACACTCGGTGCCGTCACAACACTCTCTGGCAGATTGTTCCAAGAGATCACGACTCTCACTCTGAAAAGTTTGCCCTTGTTTTCTTTTTCTCCCCCACCCAAAACCCCCGATTTCTCAGGCTCTCCCCCATTATTGATGGGGGGGGGGGGCCAAAACGAGCAATTTCCGCCAAAAATTAAGGTCAGATTCGTTTACAACACACCAAAATACACTGGAAAAAACATACAGTATTGGTCAACCCTAAGGACTCATGTCCTAAAGAAAAAATTTACCAAAAATGTAAATCCTCCACCCAAATTGGCTTATCGTTGAGGTAAGGAGTAAGTTAGATACAGTAGTTGGCTAACCTGGACCCATACCTCTTGCCCACTGTAAATGGCTTGAGCTTAGTGGAAAGCTTAACAGGAAAAATTGACATTACCTGTAGTTCATATCAGTCTTCAACTTCCTATTGGATTTGAAAGCAATACATAAAAACATGGCTATCACTGGGATCTTGTTTAAAAGGTAAATGAATAAAGTGGCGACCCTAACTAAAGAGCAGCCAGTTTACTACCTCATGTACTCTGCTGGTGTTATCAGTCAGCTTACACTTGTCTTTATGTACACTTTTGTTTATGTATACTGTACCTAATTTTTTATTATGTATACATGAAAAAATATAAAAGTTCAGGCACGAGAATTAAAGAACTTGTATCGTATACAAAAGGCATAATAACTTTAACAAATTAAAGACTCACCTGTGGGGGTTGACCATCCACCAACTGCTACTGAGCACTGTACAAAACATGAGACAGTAAGCTTAAATACTGTAATTAAAATTTTTAATATATATATATATATATATATATATATATATATATTGTATATAATTTTATATATATATATATATATATATATATATATATATATATATATATATATATATATATATATATATATATATATATATATATATATATATATATATATATATATATATATATATATATGTGTGTGTGTGTGTGTGTTATAACAACACACTTTATTCATTCTTACCAGCACTACACCATAATTATTCATTCCTACAGTACCACAGCATGTTAACTCGTGTACCATGCTATTTACTACCTACTACTGCACCTTTCACTGCCCACCACCACCATACTGCTTGTCTTCTGCCCTACCCACCTCTACAGTAAATAGTATAGTACAGTATAGTACAGTATAGTATAGTATACTATAGTATAGTACAGTACAGTACAGTGCAGTACAGTACAGTACAGTACAGTACTGTACAGTACATTATAGTATAGTATAGTATAGTATAGTATAGTATAGTATAGTATAGTATAGTATAGTATATTATATTATAGTATATTATAGTAAAGTATAGTATAGTATAGTATAGTATAGTATAGTATAGTATAGTATAGTATAATACAAAACCTTAAACAGTACAGTACAGTAAAATACAGTACAAAACCTTAAACAGTACAGTAGAGTACAGTACAGTAAACAGTACAGTCAGTACAGTAACAGCATAGTACAGTAAACAGTAAAGTACAGTACAGTAAACAGCAAAGTACAGTATAGTACAGTACAGTATACAGTACAGTAACAATACAGTATACTGCCCGTTTCTGGGGTCACTAATTCTAAGGGGATAACTTAACTCTACTCTTAATTTTAAGGTCGCTGCCACCAGACCCCCTGGACAGTATGTAGCTCGTTAGGTGGCGGGCAGAGCAAGCTAGGCATTGGGTTGGGTTTTTCATTGACCAAATCGAGAGTGGGAAGAAGGGTGAAACATCAATCATGACTTATCTAATTTATTCCTTATAAACACATATTGCATACCGTCACAATACAAAAAGAGTTGGCCTTCATCAGAAGAACCACTATTATGTTCATTACACTTCATATAAATGTACGTCTTTCATCAAATAATTACTATTATCATCTTCATTCTTCATAATAACCAATGACCTCCTTACCTCGGTCATTCCTTCTTACCATGACACGGGACACGGGAGTTGTGCCAGACTTGTGGAAACAAGCAAATGTACCCATATTCAAAAAGGGAGACAGAGCATCAGCGTCACCCTACCGGCCGATTAGTTTGACGTCAGTAGTGGGGAAATTTCTTGAATCAATTATAGCAAATAGCACTCGATCGCATTTAGAGAAAAGCAAATTAATCTACGACATGGATTTACAAAGGGAAAATCTTGTCTAACAAATCTGCTGACGGTTTTTAGGAAAGTCTTCGAGGTAGTAGATAATGACGATAATTACGATGTTATTTACTTGGACTTTAGCAAAGCGTTTGACAGAGTACCACATCAGAGGCTTCTGAGAAAAATTAAGGCTCATGGTATCGAGGGGAAAGTTTTAAATTGGATAAAATCGTGGCTCATCGATAGAACACAGAGGGTCAGTGTAGAGGGTGTCAAATCTGAGTGGGGCTGTGTAACCAGTGGGGTTCCCCAGGGGTCAGTACTGGGCCCACTCTTGTTCATAATCTATATAAACGATCTAGATACTGGAATCAGCAGTGACATAAGCAAGTTTGCGGATGACACCAAAAAAGGGCGGCAGATTAATTCAGGGCAGGATGCAAATGCACTACAGGAGGATTTAAATAAACTGCAGGAGTGGTCAGAGAAATGGCAAATGAAATTCAACACCAGCAAGTGCAGCGTACTTAATATTGGTAGAACAAATACTGTCAACGTATACAGCCTTAACATCAACCTAGAAAGGTCGACTTGTGAAAGAGACTTAGGGGTACTTGTAAGCCCGGACCTACGGCCTAGAAAACAGTGCGTTAATGTTCGAAATAAGGCAAACAGAGTATTAGGTTTTATATCTAGAAGTGTAAGTAATAAGAGTGCAGAGGTCTTATTGCAACAATATCTTGCGCTAGTCAGGCCGCACCTCGATTATGCGATTCAGTTCTGGTGCCCTTATTATAGAATGGATATCAATTCACTGGAGTCGGTGCAGCGAAGAATGACGAAAATGATTCCGGGACTTAGAAACCTTCCATATGAAGATAGGTTAAAGAAGCTACACTTGCATTCCCTAGAACGACGAAGAGTGCGGGGAGATATGATAGAAGTATTTAAGTGGGTGAAAGGAATCAATAAAGGCGATATAGATAAAGTTCTTATAATGTCCGAGCAGGATAGGACTCGTAGCAACGGATTTAAGTTGGATAAGTTTAGGTTTAGGAGGGAGATAGGAAAGAACTGGTTCACAAATAGGGTGGTGGACGAGTGGAACAAGCTTAGCAACTTTGTAGTAAGTGCTGGAACGCTGGAGAGTTTTAAAAAGAGGCTAGATAGATTCATGGATGATAGAGAGTGGTAGTGTAGTGGATTTCTCCCCTACGAACGCTGTTTGTCGCTGAGTAGCCGACCCCGCGAATTCCACAGTGTATGCCTCGTGGTCTAGGTCAACCAGCGCCGCCCACGGAGCGGGGGTCAACTATCTACCCTCGCCTACCTCCGCTATAAAAGACCTGACCTCGTGGTGACCTCTCTCTTCTTCTAGCTACAGCCGCAGCAAGCAACACCACCTCCTCCGCCGCTTCCTGGCGGCCCTCGCTCCCGCCGGCGAGCATGGCGACCCACAAGCTGTCCTCCTCTGAGCACCCTCACCAACCAGCTCTCTCTACATCACGCTTGTAACCACGCTGCCACTTCCCAGCACCAAGCTGCATTGTACATCCAATACAACATGTATACAGAGAGCACATTGTGAGTTTCCTTTCTCCATCCCATCCTGAGTGTGAACACCAAACATAACGTACCCCACAATAGTAACTCTCGAAAGGAGCTGCCATGTACAGGCCAACCGGCCTATTACAGACTCCTTATTTTCTTATGTTCTTATAACACCCAACACATCAGACTGCTCCACATGTTAGAGTACACTCCATACCTACAAGTATGGAACTCCTCGGTATTCTTAGGTACACATACCAGGTACCTCGTTCACACTCTACTCTTGCTGAGTAGATGGAATACTTCCCAGGTAATCATACCAGTACTGGTTCCACGCCTGGTATTCTTAGGGCGCTCCACGTGGCGACTGCGAAACTCCTCAAACATACAATTATGTTCTCCTATCCTGGGTGGTGATATGTAGGGTATCCACAGATTCACAGTGGAGGTGCACAATGACCATAAGTGGACACACCACACCCGGTGAGTTCCTCACAGTGGTGGTTGGTGATGGCTTGGCAGACGCTCTGGCCGCGTGCGTACCTGTTTTGGCGAGAGACGTGGCATCACCGAGAGTAAGGTCTGATGGGCTTTTATCACCACGCATTATTGCAATTATTACTTCACTTTATAATATCAGGCAAGGTTTTAAGATGTAAAAAAAGACTGCTAGATAGGTCTTTTTAAGGATGAATGGAGCACGATGGAGTTCAATGACCTGTTTTGATGAGAGACGTGGCGTAACAGAGACATAACTTAACTTACTTTTACTTTTATCCTCTTCGCCACTGATAGGCTCGTTAGCCGCTTGGGCGATCGGTCACGTCTCTGATTACTTTTCCTTTTCATTTATCCTCTTCACCAAAAGATTCAATGTCACGAAGTGTAAGAGGATGCACCTGGGGCGTACCAACGGTAAGGAGGCGGATAGATACCTTGAGTTTTCCTTAATGCTATAAGTACATACACTTAATATTATAATACGTACCTTGGTACCATTCGTATAAAACATACAATAGGTGAGTTATCCCGTAAAAAAGTTTCCCGTTTTTACCGTTTTCTGTGACTCTACAAGCGCGGTGGATTTGAATGTTACGCAGCGTAATACGAATTAAAGAGATATAAGGATGACAATGATGTGCGCAGTACAACAGTACAGTAAACAACATAGTACAGAACAGTAAACAATACTTTAAACAGTACAGAATAAAGTACAATAGAGTACAGAATAGTAAACCGTACAGTAAACAATACATTACAGCATAGAAAACATTACTGTGAACTGTACTGTACAGTAAAAATTATAGTATAGTGCAGTACAGTACATGACAATAAACAGTGCATTACAGTAAACTGTACAGTACAGTACAATACTGTACAGTACAGCGAACTGTACAGTAAACAGTACAGTACAGTACAGTGAAATATAGTACAGCAAACAGTAAAGTACAGTATACAGTACAGTACAGTAAACAGTGTAGTAAATGTACATAACGGTCATTTGAAACTTTAGGGCACAGCTTAAGTGATCTTTTAAATATCTTTAATTATTTGAAAGGTCATTAATTAACAATAATAACTCGAAATTAAAAATTATGAATATAGATTCTTAATCAGCGTGTAAAGTACAGTAGTGCCTTTGTATGAAATTTAAACAAAATCTATATTATGACCCCAAGAGCAATCGAAAGTTAAAGAATATGATAGATTAACTGAAATCTTTATTCGTAACATTGAAAATGTGAAGAATTAACGATTGTTTGGCAGATGAATAAGAATATTAAGACTTCATGGATTTAATTATATAGTTGTAAGGGAGAACGTTGAGCATACAATATCGAAAAAAATAAAGAAGAGATAGACGTTGTAGAACAGATAGTGCACCGGGGAGGCTGTGGGGAAGAAACACTCTTATTCTCTTACGAAAGCTGATGGTAAATATAAGTTTTTCAGTGCTTATATGAAGGCAGACAAAACAAGGGTCTGCAAACATGGCGGCAACACATCATCACTAACTTAACCAGCAATGGGTCGACTCATCCTCACACATACCAAGCTC